CAGTGTCATGGATGTAAGAACGGACGTATGCCACTGCCCCATATCAAATTTCCGAGGCGTCACAGAAAATATGAAGTTCCAGGAGCGAGCGATCAGATTGTAGAAACAATACAGAGCGTGGAACACTAACGTTCTCAACCTTCTGAAATTCACTTGAAATCTCTAACCAGCGTTTGCCTTCCTCACCTGGAATCTCTTCGTCCCCTCCTAGTCCCAATTTACCTAAACTTTGAAGTAACTGCTTCATAGGAAGTATGAATGGTGCTAACAATCCCAAGGGGTCGTATAATGAGGCTACACTCGACAATATACCTCGCCTAGTGAGAGGGCATTTCGGTATGCGAACTTTAAATTCAAACGCATCAACCATAGTATTCCAAAATAATCACAGTGTGCGTTCCGTAGGAAGTCTCTCAAAGTCAATCTCTTTTACGGCTTCTGCTCTCTCTTCTGGATGAATCGATTCGAGAACCTGTAGACAGTTGCTTATCCACTTGGTAAGCCTGAACGCACCTTTTCTGAGGAGTAAACCAAGGGATTTGCAAGCTCGATTGCATCCTGCACATTATCAATTGAAGTTAAATAGTCGTCGACATAAAAGCTCTTATCTACAACTTCCTGGACATCTTTATTCAGTTCCCTTCCGAATATATCTACGTCTTCCTAAGAGCGAAATTAGCGCAAAAAGGAGAGGACACGGCTCCAAACGGATGAACTGTCAAACAGTATTCCTTAGCCTTTCGTCTTATATCACCGTCTTCCCACCACAATAGTCGAAACGCTCCCCTATCTCGTCTCGGGATCTTTACTTGAAGAAACATCTCCTCGATGTCAGCGGCTAATGCTACGTTGCATAATCTGAATCGTAGAAGTATACCAATTAAACTATTTACAGTATTTGGTCCTCTCAAAAGCTGATCATTAAGAGAACAACCTTGATAGACGGCTGCACAATCAAAAACAATTCTTAATTTTGCAGGCTTTGTAGGGTTGATAACAGGATGATGAGGAATATACCAACAAACAGCATCACGGTCGAATTCCTTCTTACTAGCTTCAATGATGTAGCCTTTACTTAAATGTTTATTATCCTTCATAAACCTCTTCCTTAAACACTCTAGTCTACGTTCAGCTAGTTCCAAATCATCCGGTAGCCTTGGCTTATCATACTTCCAGGGTAGACCAACTTGGAAATGGCCATCCTCCAGTCTAAAGGAATAATTAACTATTTCTAGAGCTCTTTTATCTTCGACAGAATATCAATTACGAAACCCATCTGCATCCTCGAACCCATGATTATATAACCTTTCTATATCTCGCAAAATATCATTAGTAGAACAATGACACCACTGAATTTGATGTAAAGACCTCGATACTCCTTTAGGACCGAACGGATGCTTCCTGTCTCCCAGGCTTTATTGAAGGATCCAATGTGCATCTGGAGCATCACACCCAATCAATATCCCAACAAGATTACTTTGCAACCTCGGTAGGGTTATGTCTTTTAAATGTTTCCACCTTCTCAACTGGAGTTCGGTTAAAGGTTCTGCATAATCGAACGGAAGTTTCTTGGTTGTATAGGCCTTGTTGATCTTTATAGAACCCCATTCATCTAATGAAAATACCTCTAAATTTACTTCCAGACATTCACAAGTAGAAGTTCCATTCACAGTCGTCACCTTCATTGAAGTCTCCTTACCTTTGAGACCTAACCGATTGATTAACACTTCGCATACAATAGAGGTGTCTGAACCATTATCTAGAAGGGCGTATGTTTCCAGACATCCTTTGGGGCCACATAGTCTAACCGGAATGATACCCAAACAAACCTTTGAGAATTTCCAATCCTTAGCAAAGTTCACCACATGTCTGTTAGTAGCCTCAATATGTAATAATGGATTATGCCGAATCTTACAATTATTAACGTCACACCTTGTGTCCAAGTTAAACGACTTGGCTATGTGACCCTTCCTTAAACACAGGTAACATAGACCACGCTTTCTCACTTCCTGTCTCCTCTCTGTAACATTCATTTTTGATAACTTCATACAGTCTTTCTCATTGTGATCACCAAAACAAATTTCGCAACTTAAAGCCTTGAATGAGTTGCTTGGTTCCCGCTTAACTACATTAAAGCGTGATCTCCTGTCAACTTGGCCTTCATAATTACCTTTACGGAACTTTGAGTTACAATGTACAAATCTACCAAAACGTGATCGCGCAATCCTGGCTCTTTCTTCTACAAACATCACTAATTCGTTAAAGATCGGCTCCCTACCGGTCATCATGATCCTATCAGCAGCTTCCACCCATTTATTCTGTAATTCTAGGGGTAAACGTGACACAATCGTTTCCAGATTAGCCGTAGACTTCACATCAGACATATACCCCATTTCCTTCAGTGTTATACATACATTACGTAACTTAATTGCGAAGTCAGTTAGGCTATCGGCGGATCCTTCAGCAGATTTGTGGCTAAGTAATTCAGTAATACGATTACGAGCGACAAGATGTTCTTTATCAAATAGATCATACAAAATTTGTTTAGCTCTATCGTAACCCAAGTGACTGGGCATTGAAATACAAGCTTCAATAGCCGTTCTGGCCTTTCCTTTACAATAGTATGACAAATATGACAGCAACTGGCACTTGTCAGAGTGTTTACTCTCTATAATGCTTGTAAACTGACTAATAAAACGGTGGTACTGGCTTGGTTGTCCGTCAAAAAACATCATATCGATCTTAGGCAAAACCTCATTATTAACCGTAGTACGTAACGTATCCTTTAATTCATCAATACAATCGCATTTTGAGGTGTTAAATACCTCCACAGAATGCTTATTACGCTGAACGTCACAATCCAAGTACCTTATCACCTTAGCATTTATCTCAGATTTGTCTACTGACAGTCGATTATCGTTTTGTATGACCTTACATTCTAATTCGGCCATATCAACCTCCTTTTGAAGATCTGACATTTTAAGCTGCCTTTCTAACTCAAGTCTCCTTTCCGAATACTTATTCTTTAGTAATGCCTTATCTAACCTCAATCTAGAAGTAATAAACTGAGCTGAGGGCTTACTATCAACACTAATATCGTCACGTTTACCATCATTAAAATCAGACACACCACAAACAGCTTTAGAAATTTTACCATCCATTTCGAAATTTTCCTTCGGCTTTTTGCTTCTGGTTTCCATTGCATGCTTTTGTTCGAAAATCGGTTACCAAACAAATGTGAATTAATCCAAACGAATTCTACAATAAAACCAAAAATTTGACCCAAAATGTCCAGACGTATCCAATATAAGACAATAGATTTAAATTGAAGAACTTTTGTTACGTCCATGTTTGCTCCTTCCCGTTATTGAAGTACAGTATGTCGATCTATTTGTAATTCACGAACCCAAATTAACAACAGAACCAAAACTCCAAAGTTAGGTACCAAAGTTTATTCGTAATTCACAAATAGTCGACCAAAGTGTCGTTCGTCAATTTACAAACAGTCGACCAATGTCGTTCTAACAACAATAATTATAATGACTACAAATACCTTCAATTTTATAGGTTCCTGCAGCAAAAACTCCAAATGACCAAACCAAGACAAACAGGAATCGAAATGGCCGAAAATAATAAATCAAACAAGTTCATAAGTTAAGTAAAACAAATATACCCAAAAAGCACAGTGAAATTAATGATATTTATATAAAGGTTTTAATCAGCCAAATGTCTTCATTTCTCCCGTAGAAATGCCTATTGGATGTTAGTTAAGGAAGTGGATAGTTTATATGCTTAACCACAGCTAGGTATAATCTTCAATCAGATAACGAAACTGCGCAAATAAATAATTTAGTACAACAGTCTACTAGTCTCCGTCTTCCTGAGAAGATGAGTAAGTTATGGTGTTTTACCAGGTTTATGCCATTGAGTGGCATCGAGATGTCTGCTGTAATGAAAATCCAGTGAATGGGTCTGGTACCAGCACCAGTTCAGGTTATTTGTTTCTCGAGGTCTAGGAACTGATGTTTTTTTGAGACTGCCTTCATCATTTTCAGTAGTACCAACATCTGTAGTGTTCCGAAGAAAATCAGGAGTCGATTAGGGTCTGACTTTTTGAATGTTAATAGTCGCTGGGTGATAAAGCCTATTTATTTAATATAAGATTCTTTGTCTGGGTTTGTAATGAGACAACCACGTACATAAACAGGCACACATTGTAGACATTGTTAACGAGTCACTGAAAATGTGAACAGTAGTTCATAAACAGATAGGTTTATTCCTGGGGTGCCAAATAAGTAAGGATAGTCGGCTGAAGAATATCGTCCACAACGGCAACATTTCCTCAGAGGATTTACGGAAGTCGGTTTTCGGAAAGAACTGTGTCCAGGTTGCAAGATGACGTTCACAGTATAATTCAGATGTCTTGGGAAATGATAAGTGAGGAGATATCCATGAAAGAATTGATCGAAAAACCGATATATTCTCCTATTTTCTCGTATCAGAGGATGTACCAGGTGGGTTCAGAAGCCAACAATAGATAAAACGCCAGCTGAATACAGGTTCTTACTCGGAGTCGTTAACACTTGAAACTGGTTACCCGAAGACACAATGTCAGTTTCTAGTTTACACTTTCAAGAGAAGACCCTCAGAATTTTACTTCAGAAGTTCTGACTCAGACCTTAGGCCCTTTGTTTTCAATACACGAACCTGAATCTGAATCTCATAATTTTACTTCCGACTACCACCTGCCTAGTTTTTGATTTTCGAGTTCCGTCTTTATGAACAAAGATTATATGCCAGGAACGTATGGCATGCTTGAGCTCAAGAGTTTCTGGAGTCTTAATCTTATATGAAAACATTCATTTTGTATACTGCTTATATTGGTGCAGATTTCTGCATTTATACTAACATAAACAATTAACGAACTCAACAGCAATACACAGGTCCAAGAATTATTGGCTTTACTGTATCCTCGATCCAGTTCTTTTTGAATTTTTTACATGTGTCACAGTTGGCTATGTGTCCATCAAATCTGTTGGATAATCTTAATTCGAAGAAAAATATGTCCGAGTTTAATTATTTCAATAGGTAATTTACAATGTTCATGATATCTTATAGTATGTACCATGTATTTTCCCTCAGACTAAGCATAGATATTTTTTAATATATTGTTGTTTCCCAAATCACATTTGACGCACTAATTATTGTATAGCTTCATGTAATGTTTTGAGGTGTAATGCTCAATATAACATTCATCTGACGTTTCTTATCCTAGATACCGTAGCTACACATATATAGATGTTAATAGGGGAAATAAACCAATGCCTGATGTATGTCTTGAGACTTTCTAGTTTTTTTTATTGCCATCTCCCCAGATCACCAAATTAATAAATCTCGCTTATTATCTCTGTTTCTTCTCCCTTAATTGGACTTCAGACTTCTTTCACAATCTTCACTACCAGTTAATAAACCAAATTGTACGTTTATTTACTTGTCAAATCTTCATTTTAGCATAAGAATTTTCTCTTTATTATTTCCCACGTTGTGACTAATTGATCTCCAGCGTGGTAACGTGATAGCTCCTGGTATACAGAAGCCCTACTACCCTGAAACAAATGCACTCATCAAGATCAGGGGACATACAAACACATAAACAACTGTTAACTGACTAGAACTGATGCAATCGAGTGGCTGGACGACCATCCATTGGACATTACCGAACACTTGGAATCGTACAGAAAGAAAAAGCATCGGACGCAAATAAATAAATTGGTTTATACCAGATTGTGAAAAAGATATTCGGTATTGAATTGTTATAAAATATTGGCGGTAGGTTTCAGGGTTGACACTACCCTGGTCTGATAGTCTTTTTGAGTAGCTTATCCCAACTCCAGCTGGTAAGACTTAAAGAAGATTTGATACATACATTAAGTGTTATAGTGTATTTGAGGTTATGTCAAATTAAGGAAAAGCGAACACTTCCATTCAGTCATCAATAATAAGAACAGTGAATCGTTTGACCAGCACTAATTCTTGCAGCTGGTTTCCTAGAGATGATACTTTCTGAAAGTGTCCACCGATGGGGATGATGCCACTCGTTTTGGCAGGACGCGTATTCAGGTTCCTAGATGTTTCCTACGTTGTAGCAACTGTCGGATTTTCCCATCCATCTACGGAGGGTAGTGTGAAAGCTTTTGTTAACGATGGATGAACAGTCAGGTTACGGCCTCGAACATAACTTACTCCATCCATCTGTGACTACATTTAACCAGCAGTCTGTTGCGTTAGTGCAATACTTGCTTGCCGGAATGCTACATCGGCACAGGTGTTCTTTGTTTGAGTTTCTCGTTCTCTTTAGTCTGAAGTACAAAAATATGATTCTATCCTCCATTGCCGTTTAAACTGCTCGCAAGACCATGTTTCCGCCCTAACTATGTTTGTAGAGGTCTTTTGCCTTCTAGAGTTAACTGACGTCAAATACTTGACTATTATTTCTGTGCTTTTTAGCCTTCATATGGATGTGCGCTTTACTACAGCGTTGTCGATATGGATTCATAAACCTCAAGTTGTACATAAGGATGTGTTTGCTTCATCTGTTATATCCGAAACCGACGAATCCTATGTAAGGGTCGTCTATCCCAAGCTCCGTACTGGGGTCAGTGAATTCACTGAAGTTTGTTCTAAAGGATCAGCTTACAAGTTCTCATCCATATTCACAACTTATACAATAGAAGAAACAAAGTAAGCAAATTCCATTTTACTTATTAGAAGTGGTCGCATCCAAGTTTCCGTTTTGGAAGAACCTTCTGGGTTTTTCCAAAGTTCTTGGCTGAAAGAAGTTCTTGAACAGAAGCTTAATCTTTGGTATTCTTGTGATGCGAAAGTTAATATCAATTCTCTCTCACTAATTGATTGTCGTCTATATCAATTGGAATACGAACGCTTGAAAAATACCTATGGACCTACCTTAGTTAAGGTATCCTTTAAAATCGTATTAGATTATCCGTAATAGAACTGGCCAGAAAAAACGGATCCAATGAAATTTGTGTATGAAGATATTGGTATAGCTTGCTACCTTATGGTGTGTTTAATTATACAATAAATATGTGTTTGTCCAGTGTTTATGGAAAAATGAACCTGTTAATTTCATCGATCTTGGTTGTGGGAACGGGCTGTTGACTTATATACTTTCATCTGAAGGAGTAAGTTGTGTTGTACCTTATTAAACCAAGTTCAGTGGTGTAGGAATAGATGTACGCAAAAGGAAAATTTGGAGGTCTTATCCGCTCAGTATACAGCAACGTTTAAAGGTATATTTCTTTTAATTTGTATGAAGTATTTTACTTTTTAGTGTATTCCATATTTTAAGTCCCATTTCTACACCTAATCAAGATTTGTTTTCATGCAGAATGCAAAACTTAGACGCAAATTTTCTAAGCTTAGTATCAACCGATCTTTGTTTTAAATGACCTTATTACGTAACATTCAGCCTATAATTTTATCATACTCGAAAAATAAATCCTGGGGAGGCAGTGTTAACATATAGCTTCTAATTATTTCAAATAAAACCGGTTCTCCATACATCAAATGTATTTTACCCTATCGTAGCTGCTACCCTCGCATTTGACGAACTGATAGGTGCTCGGAAACTCATCCAGTCTGGCTCTGAACATAACGAAGAGCGGAGCAAGCTTAAGCACAGGCTGACAAGGAGTCTACGCAATGATCGTGAACAGTGGTGAGTAGCGAAAACAAAAGCAGTGGGAAAAGCAGTGGCGATAGGCAATAGTAAACAATTGTTCAGACTTATCAAGGAAACCGATATTAGGAATCCAACTATTAGCGAGGCTATCTCGGAAAAGGGATGGGCTTATAATTCATTCTCAGTCCAGGAGATTGGATCGATGAGTAGGACACTTTAGGAACACGTTAAAGTGGCCTTCAGCCTTCGGTTGCCCACGATCCCCAGTCAACCTGAATGGCAAATAGACGTAAGTCCTCAAACTCTCAAAGAAGTTTGCAAAGCTATGGGAAATCGGAAGCGATTGAGAGCAGAGGGCCCCTGGGATTTTTAAGGATGGTGGTCCAGTTTTAGCAGCTAGATTGACTGAAATCGTAGGTAGAATCTGGGAACTGGACGTAATTCCATCTGATAGACCACATATTTACACTAGGACAGGTCCTAGAACCCCAGACACATTTAGGTGCCTGACAATAGTTGTCTTACTGGACCTTAAAGCGGCATTTGACTCTGTTGATCGTGTGGTTCCCTGGCAGTGTCTGTCATTGAAAGGTGTACCAGACAAGTGAATTAAACTTGTACAGGCTCTCTACTCGGACACTACAGTTCGAGCTAGAGCTTTTGGTGAACTGTCATCGGAATTGGTATCTTCAAGTGGTGTCTGTCAGGGCTGTCCGCTTCCTCCATCCTTGTTTAATTTTGTCATTGACGTGCTTTTATATACGACACTTACATCATCTGACTTTTCAAGTGTGCACCTTCTACCAGGAGACACGCTTGCTCACTTAGAATATGACGATGATATAGTTCTATTCGGTGAAGGCACTGACAAAATGCAGTCTTCTGACTACCCTAAGTACCAATGCATGCATATTCGGGATGCGATTCTCTCCGTCGTATTTTTAAATTGTTGCTTCAGAATTGGCTTGTATTGATATGTGAACTAGTGATAGGGAGTGAAGTAGTTGAGTGTGTCGACCGCTTCACTTATTTCGGGAGTCATCAGTGCTGATGGCCTAGTGACTGACGAAATCTCAGCTTGGGTACTAAAGGCCCGATTGTCTTTTGCCACGTTTTTGACACGTCATGTAATTGATATCATTCTTCTAAGAACTTAGTACCCAGATCCCACTTGATTGCATTTCAAACTCTTAGCTAAGTTGAAGAAGCCATTAACGTAAGACCAGAAAGCATCAAAAGTTGATATCAATTTCAGTAGGTCTGTAATCACAGTGGTCAGGTACTGTCAGCAGTGTTAACTGTGAATTTATTTTGAGTTCGATATCTAATCTTGATTTTTTTCATCAGGTCCAAATCGGTGATTGCTCTAATTCATAAGATGAGCCGAAAACCCTCTTGTAATAACCAGAGAATAGTCAATTCAACCCGCATAGTTTTCTAATTATTGACCTTAATCGTCCAGAGCCTAGTTGATTCTTGAGAACAGCAAACTTAAAAAACAGTCGTTTTAAAAGAGGTCACAAAAGTCTGTAAAAAGTTAAGGGCGGCTCGATTATGACACCGCACCAGTTCATGAAGCCACCAGTTTTTGAACTGATCATTGTTGAGAGATGCAGATCTGCATAATTATCTTGGTCTGTGATTAAATACCTCGGTTACTATTCCTCGTTGGTATTAATGAAGATCCTCTGCTCCTTAATTCCTAAATTCTGACATTCTTATTTTTTGTCTCGATATAATTCACCCTTTTCGAATTGCACTATGCCTGTTTGACTCTCTGTTAATAATGTGATTGTGCTATATTCTTGGTTAACCAGCAAGCCTGCTGCACATGCACGCCGCTGCATTTCAAGCAACACAAGAGCCAATATTGCGATCACTCCAGCCCCATACGGGAACGCACATATCTAGATTGGTCTGCAGACAAGTAGACGTCCAAAAAGCACGCGCTCGAGCAGTGGTCCCCGTTCGGGCACTTATGAATCAACTCGATCCCTCCAACCAATCCACTACCCACAATCCCCAATCGGCAAGGGGAGCAAAGCGGGTTTCCCCAGCTAGACCTGGCAAGCCGGACGGATTACCGAGCCACCCAGCAGCCATTCCAACCTCTGGCCTGTAACTGCTTTGCGCCGATACAATCGATCGGTACCCCAAAACTCGACATGAAGCTAAAGATCAAGTTTGTTCCACAAGGTCAGCTGGAACGTACACCCTCTCATGGGGTAGATGTCATGGACTCGACTAAGCGCAAGCACTTAGCGAAGCAGCGTTAATCCCACTACATAAATGGGCAGACATCACTGGCGTCCAGTACCCTTTTAGCACTGGATCACACAACCCAACTGGAGACCCTTATTTAAGGGGCCTCGACGCCAGCTGACGCAATACACTGAGATGCAGAGTGTTTGGGACAACCACATAGGGTCGGCGTCAATACTCCAGGATCTTTACGGCTGCTTCCCCACACAAATCGTCTAGGGCCGCCTTCAAGTATCCTAGAAAGCTATATCCCATTATTTCAAATTTACCTACGCTCAATGGACGGGATTCAGACTTAGAGGCGTTCAGTCCTAATCCCCCAGAGTAGCAAACTGCATCCACGGCCTTGCAACCATGAACACGTACCATTATTCTGGACCATGCTAGAGAAGGTATCCTAAGCGTTCGCAACAGCTTTTAGCCGCAGTGCTGTAAACAACGCCACGTTATCTGACGGGATCACAAAGAGGTAGCCGCCACCACAACCCCCAAAAGGGTCTATTTATGCCTGTCACCTAATATACCCATTCAATTAGATGACGAGGCATTTGGCTATTTCTTGGTCAACCAACAGGCCTGCTGCACATGCACATCGCTGCGTTGATATACAGCGCAAGGCTTCTCACTGTAGCCAACAGTAATCACCCCTGCCCCTTGCGGGAACATACATGTTGTCTAGGTTGGTCTGCAGACAAGTTGGACATCTAAAGAGTACGCACACGAGCAGTAACCCCCGCACGGGCACTTATGAATCAACAGATCCCTCCAACCAATCCGCTACCCACAATCCCCAATCGGCGAGGGCGGCAAGGCGGGCTTTCCCAGCTAGACCTGGCACCCCGAAGCGGTTTACCGAGCCACCCAAGCATTCAATTAGATGACGAGGCATTTGGCTACCTTAAAGAGAGTCATAGTTACTCCCGCTTGTTTGGCTCTGTGTTATTGATGCGACTGTGCTACTTCGGTCTCCATTATTTCATATCCGCATCTTTCTGTGCAAATGTGAGGCTTAGCGACTTGAACTGACGCACGTTTACATCTAGTTCTTTGTATGTTATGACTGGCTTGTATCTGTTATTACTTTTAGTAGTGAATGTTTAGAAATTATCAAGAAGCTTAAAAATTTACATAGTTTTGCGTTTATTAGTGATGAGGGAATTTCCTTTATTAATAATATTTGGGGAGTCGAATTCTAGATAGACGCCCAAGAGTCCTTAACCTAGAGTTCCTGTCCACAAAGGTGATAGGGATTAGGTGAAAAGGGAGTGTTCACTATATGATATGGTGTTGTAGTGTAAAGGATAGTTACATATAGCTGGTATCTGTCGATCCATCATGACTACTCAGTTGGGGTCCTAAAAATCGTGCAGTTCAGCAACTTCAGGGGCTCAGCATAGAAGCTGTTGGCGAGTATAATATAGTTTTCTTTTATGTTGTTGCCAATATTATTATGAACTACTTTAACTGAAATAAATGTTGTTTGTATCTTTTAACTGAGCTATATAATGTATATCATTGTTTTTCATTGTACAAAACGCTGACGGAATCGTACCATCTTATATCGCTTCAGATATCTAACTTCTCGTACATGCTTCTAGTTGTCTTTAATGTGCTATGGTTTGCTTCATATTCTTTCTCATTGCATTTGTATAATCTTGGCTGGGAGGAATAGTGTGACAAGTTTTATTTTGATACAGCCAGTCAGCTACAGTAATCCAGTTTTATTCTAAATTTTATTCTCCATATTTCAATTCATACTATTCATTTTTAATGTTACTCAACCCAATCCTGGTTACACCTGTAAAATCTTTGTGCCCCTATTTTACTTTTAGGAAATTTCGTTAAATCCAGAGGATGTATGCGGGTTTCCACACGCTAATTGGTTAATTGGAAATCACAGTGACGAACTTACACCTTGGATGCCAATACTAGCATGTAAAAGTGGACCATCATGCAAATTATTTGTCTTGCCATGTTGTCCTTTTGGTCTTTTCGGAAAGTTTAATATTCCAAATAGTTCACTTTCGTTCCTACCTGAAAACATAAATGTCAAACAGATAACAGAAAATAGTCGTTATGGAACATATCTTAATTATGTTCAACAAATTTTTGCCATTTGTGGATTTGTACCTGAGGTTGACGCACTGAGAATACCATCGACTAAACGTGTAAGCTTGTAATTACTAGTTATCCATTGAATTTTCAAATACATAAATTCTTTAGTTAATAACTTAAAATAACAAAGTACCTACTTCATTTCAAAATTTAAGTGACGTAAATAGCTTCCAACACTTTACTACATCCTCTAACTTATGTGGTAAAGAGACAGAAAGATTTACGTGTAATGTTAATCAACTTATTATTAATAACGAAATTAACAAATTATTGTGTCGAACTCCAGTTTCCTGCTAATCGGGTTTTGATTGCATAACACAGTCCCGTACTTCGAGTGGTTGCGAAATTGAGAAGCGCGACCACCAACAACGTGACAAGGGTGTTTACATCTAGCAAGTCATACCGACGTTATTGGGCTTACCGTGTTACTTTACATCAAATTATCAGTTGATGAAGTTAAGCGGAGAGAGAGAATAGCCGAAACGGTTGTTATTAGTGTCCAGATCATGAAGGTGGATTCAAGAGACGAGATTGGTTTATTTGGTCACAAACTTAAAGCTGTAGGATCATAAGCTAGTAGTAGGTAATTCATCATTCGAAATAATAATTTGTGTAGTTTGGCCCCGATGCAATGCGTTTAGTCCTTCATCATCTGTAGGAATCACACCATTTTCCAGTCATGTTTACGTTCATGTACTGTTTATTGCATCGCTCTTAATCACTTCAGCTAACGCTATGGTCTTCATTAGCTATTGCAATACCTAATCGTCTTATGGTGCAGTTTTCTAAAATCTCACAGGTCGTAGTTCCGCGACATAGTTTCTTTCTAAAACCCACTGGTCAAAATAGTTTGCATTATTAATCAAAAGAGTTTTTGAAGGATACATGGTTTAGCTTTTCTTAAAATAACAAAACATATACTAGCATTATATAATATACACTTACTTTGCTTTGTTCTAGTAAAATTTCCGTTAATCAATAGATAAAGCGAATTTTCTGGCAATTCTACTTAGTTTTAAACATTATCTTCTGATTTTGTGAAGTTTGCATGACTTCATAATGTTAACCTTAGTTTCTATTCGGTCTTATGTTGTTTTTATTTCCTCAATCTAGATATGTATTGTTGGTCGAAATATGATCGATTCCAAGTACTCTGATAACAGTGTACATTCAGATCGTTTGTCTGCTGTTAATCAATACATTGAATACGAACGTGGCATTATTTCAAAACCTAATAAAATGTTCGTAGCACGTTCACCCACAGAGATCCCCTGTAACTGTGCAAGAGTTTCGAAATTTGTTCTTGACAAAATATCACAAACAGTTTTCGAAGCCTTATTAAATTGTAAACCAGATAAAAATTATTTGCAATCTCATAATCTAATATTTTCTGATGATTTAAAAATACGAACTTTGGACAGTCGTTGGTGGAATCCTGGTGGTATGGTACCGTAACACTTTTATTGGTATATGCTATTTGAAGTAGTATTCAGTTTTCTAATGGAATCTTGAAAGTTCAATAAGTTTATAGGTATTTTGAGTGTTAAGTAAATAAGGGCGCTTGAAAGAAGGTTTCAGATTATTGACGGTTTTGTACACTGCCTACCACGTTTATTCAATACGATTGCCGACGTAACATAAAATAGACATTTGCTAATCAACCTATGAAGACGATCTCTCTTGAAATTAATGTGTGCTTCGTACTGTTACATCACAAATATTTTAACTTTCAGATCACTTCAGAATCGCTGTTTAAAATATTTTATGCGCATACAAAACATTTGAGTATTCGCTTAGTCCCATCGAAATATTTTATCAGTGTAAACTTGTTATAATTCTCTCTGTTATTAAAACCCAGCTATTCCTAATGCTTAGTGTTCCCGGACACCAATCCACTCGAGACGTTCTCCCAAAGCAGAACATGGTTGAAGAGAAAATGGATTATATTCCAATAACAAGGTTAGAAGGGTCAGAAGGTCCAAAGGGAAAAGACGTTAGTAAATTTATGGTTTTCTTACATTAAAAATTCCAGAATGTTCCCTCAGTATCAGCTAGCGCTGATTGGATACGAAAGAGCCAATCAGTGTCCAGCAACGCAATCATGCTTTAATCCAATCTATTTACCACTAACAAAACTCTCTACAGGATTAACACATTACTGCACATTGATCATTTCCGCGAGGCTAATACATAACAATCCATTCGAAAAATTTTGTATCAAAAATTTGCTTAAAATATACGTTGTTTATAGAAGTTAGTTATAATAATTTTAGATACCAGTCAACTATGAACTGTTATATTTGATAACAGTTGTTTTAGTTAATAGATCTCTAAACAGGGTCTTCTTTTCTGAAATTTATTTATGACGCATGTTATCATAAGATACTGTCGAATAAAGCTTTTACAGCTGTCGTAACGTTTAGTATACTGAAATATCAAGATAAAAAGTGTTACTGTAACAAAGTGATGTGAACGAACCGCATGAAGTACAATTTGTATCAATGGGTAACTGTCAACATCTAAACTATTCAGTACTATCTACAAAGTTCACCCTCATTCTTTTTGATTGGTATTTATTAATTACATAGAAAAGCTCAGGTGAATATTTTTGCTTGTTGTTGTATTCCCCGAGCTGCATAGTTTGATTGCAGAGCTTTTGTTGTCGTCTTGGGCGTTTTCTGAGCCTAACGTAAGCAGAAGTTAACTGTATGGTGATCGTTTCCCAAATGCCTGGTCAGTCTGTTCTAATGATCCTGTTTGTGATTGATGGTCTTCGTAGGTTTTTTCATCGACTAGTTTTACATTCTGGTTGGCTGTTCTGTTAAGTTGACTCCTTGTTTAGCGCTTTTTGGGAAGGTTGTTTTGTGGTGATATTACTAATCCCGTGCCCGATAATCCTCCTTCACTTAAACTTAAGGCTAGGGGTAATCTGGGAAGAGCTCCAGTTAGAACTACTCTTTTCTTAGTGGATCGAAAAAATCTTCCTATGTCATTGTACCTTTTGATCTGGTGTAGTCCTAAATATTATTTTTGATGTCCTCTGAAATCCCTGGAATTTCGTTAGTCCATAACTTGAGTTTTTTCCTACCAAATCCATATATGTATTTGTCTGGACGTATTGATGTAAGTGATAATATATCGCATCGTTTCTCTGTTAGTGTATCCATTGTTTAGCAAGTGACTTTAATTTCGGATTGTTTTTAAATACATCTAATGTTGTCTGAAATACTTCCCAAACATAACAGAACAATCTGTTTCCCGGTTTTCGAGAATGACTCTGGTGGTACGAAACACTCAAAGAGAATACAAGTACACCTAAAGGCCAGTTACCAGTCAGGTAATAAAATAAATAGGTTCTTGTCGAATAATCTTTAAAAGGTTCGTTAAACTCGACGTAAGATATGATAATCTCCAGAATGACACTGGAAATTCTGCAGGAAAATCACCCTGCTCAGAAAAAACAATACCACTATACACTTTCTTTATCACATTTCAAATCGATTCCACCAATTTTGTCATAGACTGAATTCACCAGACTTATAATAGTGCTCACCTAAGCCCAATATATTTTATTAAAATAAAGAATTATCAGCACAAAACATGCTGTTTCTATAGACGTTTAACTTGTCAGTATTTAGCAAATATGTATAAAAGTTTCTAAACAGTGGTCAGTTGCTTTTCATACTCACCGGTAAATGTTTTGGCTAGTTCTACTCTCCTGACATCCCTGTCAATGGCCTAACATATCTGATATCTGAATTATGTACTAACTGTCCACTTTTTCAGCGAAAATACGAAGATGACACATTAGTCACCTTGGTGATACCTCTTGACTTGGTCAGTAATTACGTTCGCGACAGGTTGTATTCATTCTGTGAAAGCGTGTAAGTACTCATTGTTGACAATCCTGAGAATTCTCTCACGTGGGCACATGATAATTGTCAGGAGAGTTGTCAAGATTGTTGAGTTTCATTTAAACCATTAACCAATCAATAATAGACCATCGTCGAAGGTCTGGGTGGTTGTTTCGCCCTAGCATGAGATTCCTCAGCAGTTTGCATGTATGAGTCGCGAGGCGGAAGATCTTAAGATCGATCCCCGCATGCGTTAATAGTGGTCTAATATTAATCGTTTTATGGTTGCGATGAGATCAAACAATCTCCTTAACCCTATACTGATAACCACTTAATTGTTTGCTAGCCTAGATAACTTGGATATGGTATTTTCCGTTTACTTATACGGAGTATGATTTATTCTTAATAAAACTCGATGCTGTTTTACGGAGTTATTCCGTGGTTTAGTTCGCTGTCTATACATGATAAAATCTTTTGGATTTACAAGCTCTATTAGCAAATCCATAGATTGAGCCTCATGTTACTTAATGGTACGTGGCGGTTTCAACGTGTATTCTTACGTACTTCATAACATTAGAGTTTTTCATTCTATTCAATATCACTTGATAAACAGAAAGTGGTAATCTCATTTTACCTTTTGATTTAAATGTTATCGTTGTCTGCATCAAATATTACCAAAATTGCTGACTTATGTGAAAAAACTTCTGCTTAAAATAGTTACTCTGATATTGATAAAACATCTTACATTTCTGAGGTTGTCATTTTATCCATGAATGAACATAGTTTGGTTATTGAATTAATTAATCAATTAGTTGTATTTAATTGCCTATTGTACATACTAGTATATTTATTTAGTTGAAACTTCGAATTCCGTGCAAAAGTGGTCGCAGATGTATTCTTTAATCATTCTGTATGTTGGTGAATATGTATTTCCAGTACTAACTTAGATGCTTCTAGTTTTCTTTTCATACCACTTTGCTGATATTTCTAAATATATTAGCGTATTACAAAAATAAAACAGACTAAAATATTTTTCGCTCTCTTAATAAGGTACATTAACGCTATCAGAATGCAGTGAGCTTGTGTCATTGGATGATATCAAATTATTAAAATCTCAGCATGGTGGTTTGCAAACTGTTTTGAGGAATCACCATCAATGTTTTCGAAGTGAGTTATCTTAACGTAAAATATGTATTTATTGAGTCTACGTGATTTGACTCTTTTTCATCCGATTTCGCATTGTATACATGCCTTAAAAACTAGCAGTCTAAATTTGGTGTGACTAGTTTCGTTGCCTTAATTCTAATTTTCAGGTGTACACCGTTTAGTGAAATGAACAGTATAAAGAAAAATGGCTTAAATAGCTTTCGTCGGTACTCTCCTGCTGGAATACACTGGGAGCATGATCTTTGAAGGGTTATATATATGGATACATGTATATATAGCAGGGTTAGTTGGTGTACGAATGATCATATCCAGTATCTAACCTATTGATTAAAATTAGATAAGATGAGGATTGTATCACCAAATTGGTTAATGACTAGCTAAAGAATTCTGTAGCGGTGTAACTTCACGGTGTAAGCTAGTGTATTACAGTTAAGATATCTGAAAGTATAACGTAAGGTGGAAATCACAATACACCAAAAATGTTTCCTTGGAAATGTCATGTTAGTCATCAAAGCCTTTACTATTTGGCAACTTAGTTTATTGAGTCAAATCGAAATGGTTCATATAAATGCGTATACTTTCATACTTAACAGTCTGTTAACTATGGTAAATAGGTAAGCATCTTTCGCTCTGCATAGTTAGGGTTGATTAAGTGTTCATTCATTCAAGCAGATATTTTCGAATGTCTTTGGTTTTTCCGCTGTTCAACGTAGTTTGACATGTTGATGTGTGTGTCTGATTAACAATATTCACTTGCTAGTGCTCAAAGTACTAGGTTCGCTCATAAGAATTACTGAGCTTAATCTTAATTGATTCATGTATATCATTCCATCACGGTATCTGATTTGTATTCGCAGTGATAGTTCTCTCACATCTTTGCTGGTAAGTTGTTCGCGACAAGTTTTGAAGTTATATATTTATTAATTCTCAACTCAAACATAACTGCTGTCAAGTAGATTTGCTAAGTAGCTACTTATTTTCTTTATAGGATTTTACAAATACCTCGACTTTTTTCATGTTATCTTAATTAGTATATTTCCTCATACTGAGTCTTGTGACATATGGACTGTAATGGGAAGTATTTTAAATGAAGGGCTCTACTGAAGCATATTAAATCCTGCTATCTTTATCGTGGTTTCGTATCTTAACTCTGCATGATGAATTTCTTTATTTTTTCGAAACTTGATTAAAATTAAAAACCAAGGAGAAAATTGTATATCATCAATATGTCTGCTTCACGCGTGATACTATTAATAGACAGAGAATATCTAAACAATATGATACTGGATTCTGAATATCATATGACAGTTTATTAGATGAGTGTTTTTGCCATAAGTTTATTTCCCTAGAACCGTTGTCGTTATTGTCAGAGAGATGTAAGAGTTCAACGAAGCACCAAACATTTGATGTTTTCAAGGATAAGTTTATATTGAGTAATATAGTGTATGTTAACTAAATTAAGCCTGCATTATCAGTATATGGTGATGAGAGCGCTCAGTAATAAACATGTAGTTCATTTCGCTCCTAACTCATATTACTTGGAAGTTAATAGCCTCATTAACTTGTATTGACTGCGGATATAACATTTCAGATGGTGAGTTGAACAAGATAACACTACTGTGAATAAACTAGGTAAGATATAAAAACTAACTAAAACCTTACAGTAATTTATTTCTGAGATATTATCAGCACCTAAGTGGAGTGAGAGATTTCTCTAACAAATTCGCTCATAAAGTACCAAGCATATGAGTTACCACAACACCTAAGAATGAGTGGCTAGAAGTCTGGTCAGTAATACTCTTCATTAGACAGAATCAAGATATAAAGTCTTTAATGCGGTTCTTGTTGAATTAGAAATTTGTACCGTAGATTATAAATGCCAAGAAATTCAGATTATATTATGGCCAGCAGTACTGAAACAATGAATTAGGCTTTGACATGGTCGAAATATTGCTTACAGTTTATTGCAAACTGGAATTATTTCGATTACTTAATTTCGTATGAAATTAAATCGTGATAAACTAATCCGAACAGCTTTGAGAAGCCGTTAATAATGAGCTTGAATAAAACTAAAACCGCAATCGAGAAATAATAATAACAGAGTTCCATTTATTTCGTGGTCTCTCATTAACCTCTTACAGCCGTATTCGTACTCAGGTGTAACAGTGAGATATAATAAAAAAAAGGAGTGCCCAACATAGATGACGCTTGTTTATAGGTATATTTAGACAGATTGATATGTCTACCATATTGTCATTGTCGTGTAAAACTGACTATTTTTATGCCGATCGAACTTTGCTTATGGTAGTGTTTATCTATTCATCAAGCTATCAAAAACACCGTTCAGCTACGTTGGTTACCAGAAAAAATGATGAGACTTGATGATTCTGTATTTCCGTCATGTAATGACAAAAATGAAAAAAATCGTAAAACGAAACTCTGCTGGATGTCGCGTAACCATCCGGATGGGTGTCCATACACTTCTGAATTGTGCAACTTCGCTCATGGTGAAAATGAAATTCTCACAAGAATTGATTCCAAATTATAAAATATATGTGTATATACATAAAACATTTCCAAGCGAACAACGTCTTTACTTTTTTCCAATGCTTTTGTAATGCAATAAACCGCTTATGAAGTGTCTAGCGATAATGAAATTTCGGTACTCCAAAGTTGTTGCGTATGAAATTTAAAAAATGAGACTGCACTGAAAATTAATTTTAATCTTGATACTACTTATGGAATGAATTTATAAAGTAAATTATTAGCACAATCGTGACATTTTTTCATACAAAATATGAGATTAGTCGAATATTTCAGATAATTAAGTGTTTATGTATCAAAGTCATAGCTAAAATAGTGATATTTTTAATTCATCAAAATAATTTTTAAGAAATATTTCTCAGTGTGGTTAAATTATAATGAGTTCATTTCTGGTTAGCTAGCACTATAGCCAGTAGTGCCATGCGAACATGCATTCCATACTCCGCTTGACGGAAGTAGGCTGCCCGAGGGTCGAGATCAAATTTGGGACTGATTTCTCCAACGCGAGGTAGTGGATGCATCACAATCATTCCTTTAGGCTTGGCCAATGTCATAAGTTCAGGTGTAACAACGAATTGATCACGCCGAGCATCTCCATCACCACTCATCCTTTCTGTTTGCACACGTGTCATGTAGAGAACATCAGTATCAGGTAACGCCTCCTCTAAGCTACGAAGAAAAGACAATTATTTATGAAATAATTTAGTTTTATAACTAGAATCTCGATTTTTCACTTTTGAAAATCAAAGACGTACTTTGTATGTCAGTCGTCCAACGCACAACAAAGTGTTTGTGTTGGTATTCAGGAAAAGCATGCTTTAATTCGGCTTCACAAAACATCTAAATAGACTTGAAGTTTTGTAAGCATACAAACATTAAGAATGCTAACATTCACAGCAGTTGTAAAAACGTTTAAACTAAACCCACCTACTCATTTCTTCTTGTGGGATACCACGATCAGCAACATACGATTTAACTTCTGGTGGCATCTTAAATTCATCTCTGTGAGTGACATAACGTAGTTTGACCTTATATAAGCATAATAATCGAGCCAAACTATGTACTGTGCGTCCATTGGCGAGATCTCCAACCATAGTGATAGTTAAACCATTCACTGTTCCGATTTCCTCTCTGATTGTGAAAACATCCAGTAGTGCTTGAGTAGGATGCTCGCCGATTCCATCACCTGATAAGAAGAAAAGCGAAGAAGTACAGAAGACAAAATATCGTAATTGATGAGGAATAAAAATGACAATTACGCATATTATTTTTTTCAAGGGCAAGTTACATTTAACCATTACACTTAACAATCGAAAACGAATTCACGGACAATTACATACTATTTTCGAAGATCATCATCATACTTTCATTGATAAATATCACTGTCAAGATTAGGCCTAACAATTTCAAATACACTCAACTTTGTTTTCGATAACAAAAATAATGTTTTTCGATTTATCTGAGGTTTCGTGGTGGCTTAAACTGCTTGTCCCTAATTTAACACAGGTCGAAATAATAGAAAAGCAAGTTACGTCGTAGTGATTCCACTTTTATGAAGAGAACGCGATTCGTTTAATACAAACACTCATTATTCTAACCAATTGTACCGGTGATTGTTTTATCGAGCCTCTTTGTTTACTACAACTTTGTACGCGCAAACTTTCCGTTTGTGTTGCTGCCATTTTGGCTCCAGATCATGCTCCAGTGCGAACACGTACTTGTTTGCGCCTTACTGCCAGAAAAATATCGAAAGCAAACCTCTTAGGGCTTTACTAAATGATAATCAAGCTAAGAAAATATTTCAGGAGGAACTAGAAAAACAGTTAGGCGACCATGCAAGTGATTCCCATCCGGAAGCAGGTTGGAATGATATCAAAAAGGCTGTGGCAGCAGCAGTGATATCTGCTAGCAAAGTAAACCATAAGGCTAGTTGCATCCACCGAACTGATAGATGCTCGAAAACGCATCCCACCTGACTCTGAACATGACGAAGAGCGAAGTCAGCTTAGACTCAGACTGATAAAAAGCCTACGTAACGACCGCGAACAGTGGTGGGTGGCGAAATCAAAAGCGATGGAAAAGGCAGCGGCGATAGGCAACAGTAGACAGCATTCCCGCCTTATCAAAGAAACCGGTATTTGGAACCCGAATATGAGTGAGACTATTTCGGAAAAGGATGGTCTTATTATCCATTCTCAATACGGAAGATTGGACCGATGGACAGAACACTTTAGGGATAAGTTCAACTGGCCTCGAACCACTCTTCGGTTGTCCACGATCCCCAGTCATCTTGAATGGCAAATCGATTTAAGTTCTCCCAGTCTACATCAAGTTGAGAAAGCTATAGGAAATCTAAAGGGAGGTAGAGCAGCAGGCCCTGATAGGCTTACCCCTGAGATGTTTAAGGTTGGTGGTCCAGTTTTAACAGTTGGACTGACCGAGATCTTAGTTAGAATCTGGGAACTGGACACAATCCCATCCGACTGGTCTCAGTCGCTAATCGTCCCAATCTACAAGGAAGGACAAAAGTCTTCTTGTGACAATCACAGGAGAATAAGTCTAACTGATATAGCTTCTAAATTGTTAGCCTCGATTATACTTAGACGTCTATCTAGAGCTCGTGAAGAGCAGACTACAGGACCAGGCTTGTTTTCGATCTGGACGTGGTTGTATAGACCACATCTTCACACTACGACAGGTCCTAGAACACAGACACACATTTAGGCGTCCTACAATAGTTATTTTCCAGGACCTTAAGGTGGCATTTGACTCAGTGGATCGTGAGGTTCTGTGGCAGTGTCTGTCATTGCAAGGTGTACCAAAGAAGTACTTTAACCTCATACAAGCTCTCTACTCGAACACCACTGGTCGAGTAAGAGCTTATGGCGAACTGTCACCGGAATTCTCTACTTCAAGTGGTGTCCGTCAGGGATGTCCACTCTCTCCATTCTTGTTTAATTTCATCATAGACATGCTCCTAGACATAACCTTATCCTCGTCTGAATTTTCAGAAGTAGACCTTCTACCAGGTGGCTCGCTTATTGACTTAGAATATGCCGATGACATAGTTCTATTCGGTGAAGACGCTGACAAAATGCAGTCTTCTGACTACCATAAGCAACAATGCGAGCATGTTCGGGATGCGGTTTTCCCCCTCGAAATGCAAAATGTTGCTTCGAGATTGGGTTACATCGACACCTGAAATAGTGATAGGGAGTGAAGTAGTCGAGCGTGTTGATCACTTCACTTATCTGGGGAGTCTCATCAGTGCTGACGGCCTGGTGACTGACGAAATCTCAGCTCGGATACTGAAGGCTCGATTGGCTTTTGCTAACCTGCTCACTAATGGCGTAGTCGTGATATCCGTTCGCTAACCAAAGGGAGGGTGTACTGCGCAGCAGTTCGTTCCGTTCTCTTATATGACTGTGAAACATGGCCGTTAAGAGTAGATGTTCGTAGGTTACTAGTATTCGATCATAGATGTTTAAGAAGAATTGCTCGTATATCTTGGGATAGCCGAGTAAGCAATGCTGTTGTTAGGAAACGAGTACTAGGTAAGGATGGCAGATCAATAGATGAAGTGGTGAAACTTCATCAGCTGAGGTGGCTGGGACATGTGTTACGAATGCCTAACCACCGACTGCCTCGACGAACTATGTTTTGTGGTGTAGGAGTTAGTTGGAAGAGAGTTAGTGGCGGCCAGACCAAAGCATGGCAGAAATCCATGAAGTCACTGACAAGTGGACTGAGTCATGTTGGTAGATGTAGACTACCTGGTTGGGGTCCGCGAGACGAAAGTCATCAATGGTTAGAGACCTTGAATGACATGGCTCAAAATCGTTTGCAATGGCGCAGGTGCATCCACTCTTTGAGCTCTCTCAAATCCTAATCTTCTGGATTCGTCAGCACCTCTACCTTTGTCTTTCTAACCTTATCTCACTGAATTATACTTCTTGAATAATATCTTCGAACCCTGGTCTTCTTCATTATCAATTAATACCTCTACTATCTTTATCACTACGGGATTTGATTTGACATTGGTATGACAACATGAACTTATGTACATACGTACGTAGTTCTACGTTGCAACTGACTGACTGGCTGAGTTGATCCAGCACGAGGGGACGTTTTATAACAATTTCCTAAATACCAAACGAAAATCAAAAACGCCTTTTGTTTATTTGTCTTTGCAAAAGTTCACTATGTAAACAACGTTCTACGCTTCCATTATGACATCACTTTGGTCATCAAAGGTTATTACTTTCAATAGACTGACCGATAAATGACTTTCACTAGCGAAATTAATTAGGCATTCGCGATTTATTAAAACATTATCATAGGATAAGTTTTTCGCAACAAAAACCTTATAAAGTGCAAATATACTGTCGCGTTAAACAGAATACGTGGTGAGAACTTTACAGATTTCACTTTAAAATTGTTCAAAAGCATTTATTTATGATTACTTTGTGCTGCAGTCATATTAAAACACGTTCCAGTTAATATAAATACAACTTATTGATTATTTATGGAAGGAAAAGAGAACTGACCTGCATTTATGATTGGTCGGTGTATTATCGAGTTTGCAACAGCTCGTATAGCACCTTTTCCAGGATGCCTAATTACTAAACAATCACAATAACCGGCCAATACTCGCACGGTATCTAATATGGTTTCACCTTTTGTCTGGGAGCTGGTAGATTCTGCAAAATGCACTACAGTGCCACCTAGTCGCTGCATTGCCACGGCAAATGAATTGGCAGTACGTGTACTTGGCTCAAAAAACAGATTTCCCATTACCTGGCAAACAATCATAAGAGGTGAAATTTTAAATATCCTGAAAAGGATTTGGTGAACTATACAAATTTATTGAGTTGTTGAATGAAATATTAAAGTTCAACATACTTTTCCACGGCAAATCTGATCTAATGGTTTGTTTTTGTTGAGAGCGATTCTAAAACTATGCGCTAAGTTATACAACCGACGAAGATGATCTTTTGAGAAATCTTCAGAAGAAAGTATATGCTTTCCTGATACACCTTCTAACCATATACTTGGAAGGCTTTGGTGAGTTTGAGGTAGTTGGGCAGTTGTAATCAGACCAGATACAGGGGGTTGGTACATTGCAAGTGGACTACGAGTTCCCTCATCACTTTGAGTGGTGGCTGGGATAGGTGCATCAGGTTCGTCTTGAGACTTGAGAAAGAATACAGATGCACATACACACAAAAAGTAAATATTATATTTCACTGTTAAGAACAGATATTTTCACAATAATAATAATCGTAATAATGAAATGAAATCCATATTGTTACCAATCTATTACTATTCTAATTTCAGCGAATACATTCTGGGAAGGTAAATCAAGACTAATAGCAAAATGATGTAGAGCTTTAAAAGGTTTCGATTAGGACTAGATGACTTGTTTTTCTGCTTTATAAGTATGAAGCGTTACAAAAGTGGCTAATTGAACTTATCTACATTAACCGAAGTCAGGTTAACAACTATCCGGTGTTAATCTGGATAACATTCTTTCGGATGTGAGTGGTTTTTTTCTCAAGCAAACTCGATCGACAATCTAAAATGTTTGTTGTTAGAAATTAGTTGCGTCGAATGTTTCGATCGGAATCCAAGATATTTACACTGAGAAAAAGATTAACCTTCTTTGGCAATTTAAATGTTATTCACTGAAGTCTTACAGTCTGGTTATAACGAGAAGAACTAGTAACGCGACATTATGTAAATAAATACAAGGCCAGTTACTTAAAAACAGTACAACTTAGGCTATATGCAAAGTGTTTTTGTTGTGGGGTGTTTTTTTGCGCTGGGTTTCATTAGGTTACTAATTTTCTAAATCTCACGGAATAAAATTTTATTAAGGATTTATAAGATTGTTTAAAGCAATGGGTAAATTGGACAGTCATATCACGATTACGAAAAAACGTCATGTTTGGAAATAATAGCGTTTTAATAAGTATGACAAACAACAATTGCATATGGTAAATAACTTACTACCTGAACACGTTCATTAATTGAATTGTACCGGTTTCTTAGAATGGGAGAACCAGCTGAGGCAGGGATATGCTTCAAAGAAGTGTCAACTGTTAGTGGATCGTAAGAATTCTTAGACAAGGACATGTCTGATGACACATCTTTACCGAAACCAGGTTCTACCAAAACTGAAATAGAATAGTGATGACAAGGGCGATAAAAAAGCTTTCAACCAATAGAAGTGTAAACAGATAACGGTGATATATATATATATATATATATAAATTTGAAAGAACAAAATGAATAGTTCAATCCAACAACTTCCAAGTTCACACGTACAACTTTTACATGTGTTGTAAATGAGGTCATCAATACTAAAACAAGTAGGACGATTTCTGATCATAAGATTGTAATTGTATAAAATAATTTAGTTGTATAAACATTAGAAACGAGTTGGTTCTCTTTCTGAATATGAATAAAGCAAAAACAACAGTTGAGGTAAAACCATATGAATTCATTATATTTCGAAATTACTTTTCAGCAGCTCAAAACTATGTAATAAAATGCAACCTTGGAGCATAATATGATATGAAGTAATTGATATTGCTAACTGAAATAAGGATTATCAGTAATAACTAAATATATGAATGAATAAGCGCATATGAGATCATTTGGAGAGGGAATACGGGAACATGGGATGTTAGAATAATTACAAGGACTGAAAGACGTAAGTAACATATACGCTATCAATTATATGCTTAGCTATTTCACTGCTTAGAACTGTTGCATATTTTTCTTGAATGCAAAATGTTGCTTCAAGATTGGGTTACATCGACACCTGAAATAGTGATAGGGAGTGAAGTAGTCGAGCGTGTTGATCACTTCACTTATCTGGGGAGTCTCATCAGTGCTGATAGCCTGGTGACTGACGAAATCTCAGCTCGGATACAGAAGGTTCGATTGGCTTTTGCTAACCTGCTCACTAATGGCGTAGGCGAGATATCCGTTTGCTGACTAAAGGACAAGTCTACTACGCAGTAGTTCGCTGCGTCTTACTTTATGGCTGTGAAACATGGCCAGTGAGAGTAGAAGATACTCGTCGGTTATTAGTTTTCGATCATAGGTGTCTTCGAAGCATTGCTCGTATATCGTGGGACAGCCGAGTAAGCAATGCTGTCGTTAGGAAACGAGTACTAGGTAAGGATGGCAGATCAATAGATGAAGTGGTGAAACTTCATCAGCTGAGGTGGTTGGGACATGTGTTGCGTATGCCTAACCACCGACTGCCTCGAAGAGCTTAGTTTTGTAGTGTAGGACTAGGTTGGAAGAAAGTTAGGGACGGCCAAGCCAAAACATGGCGGAAATCCATGAAGTCATTGACGAGTGGACTTAGCCATGTTGGTAGTTGTCGACTACCTGGTTGGGGTCCGCGAGATGATAATAATCGATGGTTAGAGACCTTGAATGACATGGCTCAAAATCGTTCACAATGGCGCCGGTGCATTTATTCTTTGTGTTCTCTCAAATCCTAATCTTCTGGATTCTTCAACACCTCTAGTTTTGACTTGCTAAACTTTTCTCACTGCTTCTTGAATAATATCTTCTAATCCTAACCTCTCCGATTACTTCTGATACCTTTACTACCTCTTCTACTATTGGATTTGAATTGACAATTATATCTCTGGGCTGATAAGGTATGGCAACATGAACTGATGTACTTACGTACGAAGTTCTACGTTGCATCTGACTGACTGAAGTTTTTCTTGATGGTGTCCGGCCAACAGATCTGAAATATTTTGCGTAGACATCTGTTAATAACCACTTTTATCTTCATTCCATTTAACAATACCTTGTTAAAGACTTTGTCTGATGTTAAGAGAAGTGTGATGCTTCAGTAGTTCTTACACTTACTGAGATCGCCTTTCTTTGGTATTTTGATCAGGTATCCTTGTTTCCACTCTGATGGTACTTGTTCTTCATCCCAAATCTTAATGAAGAAAACGTGGAGTATCTTCCCAGGTACTTCTACGTCTGCTTTAATGTTTTCTGGTTCCGCTGATTTGCGGCTATTGATTTGTCTGACAGCCGTGTTGACCTATTCAGTTGTTGGTGAGTCAACAACGATTATGAAGTCAGTGGGTGCTACTTCGATGTTGTGTGTTCGATGGGGTTGGTCGATTCAAAAGTTCCATGAAGCTCTCCACTCACGTGTTTCGCTGTTCTTCAGTGACGGTAATCGCTCTGCCTTTCTTGCTTTTCGCGGGTCGTTCTGGTTTACGATAGTTTCCAGCGAGCTTCTTTGTTGTATCCTACAATTGTCTCATGTTTCCTTCTCTTGCAGCCTTTTCCACCGTCATTGCTAGATCTTTCACATATTTACGTTTGTCGGCTCTGATACTTCTCTTCACTTGCCTGTTTGCTTCTGTGTAATCAGCTTGTGCCTTGACTTTCTCTGCTCTTGTTCGGCTGATGTTCCTCCTTTCTTGAATTTTGTCAAGAATACTATTCCTTGTGATAGTGATTCCTGTGGCCCAGAACCTCGTGACATGTTGAGGTGATTGCCTACTTGATCCCTTTCCAAGTGTTCTTCATGGTAGTTTCCTTTCCATTGAGTAGATCGTAATAAGCCTGGAACCTATTGGTGAGGGTTATTTTGAGTTTGTAGAGTTTTTTAGTATCCCGAAGAAATGCTGTGTTGAACTTTCGATGTTATCCGCCTCACTGTTCAGTGCCTCTTGAGTTTCAGTTTCATACTGGGGACCAGCAAGTGGTGATCTGAGGCTATGTCAGCTCCTCTCTTGGTTCTCATATCCTTCCTGGTCCTTCTGAAGTTTTTTTGATACAGATATGGTCGATTTGGTTCTGAGTAGTGTGACCCGGAGAAATCCATGTAGCTTTGTATACACGTTTGTGTGAGAATACTGTGCTACAGATGACCAATTTATTGAAGGCACATAAGTTTGCAAATCTCTCACCACTTTCATCCCTTTCTCCCAGTCCATGTCATCCCATGATGTCTTCATATTTATGTTGTCCATGCAACCTTGGTATTTAGGTTTCTCATCAGAATGGTCGAATTCTTCGATGGGTATATCTCAGTGATCGACTGCAGCCCCCTGTAGAATTGATCTTTAACGTCTTCATCGTATTTGTAGCATTGGATGACGTTCATTGTAATGTCCTCTTTATTTGTTTTGAAGGATGCTTTAATGATCCTAGGTCCATGAGATCCCCATCCTATCAGTGCCTTTTGTGCTTTTTTGTACAGCATCAGTGAAACTCCTTGTGAGTGAGGCATTTTCTTCTTCATGGCCGGAGTATAAAAGCCACTCTCCTGAAGCCAGTCTTTGTTGTTCGACCAGCGTCCAATGCGGTTCACTGATTTCAAGCACCTCCAGGTTGTATCTGCAGCAACTTGGGACAGTCCTCTGGTCTCCCGCATCGTTCAAACATGGTTGCTGCGGTTCTCACAAGGGGCATAGACATCGTGAATTCCGAAGAAACTCGGCTTTCATCGTGAGACGTCATAACTCTTCTGAATGAAGACCTTCTGACTCCCAGGGTAGAGTTTAAATGGTTTTAACTGATTTTTATTGTTAGCGTTTTTGTAGGGAGTTAGTTTTCTATGGAATGGGGTAGCCAACCCATGTGTATTTACCTAAAATACTGAAAATCAAGTTATTATTAACACACGTAAGTTGACTTTAGCAGGTTTATCCTCACTGATGCTTCAATACCGTTGTTTATCCTATGATTCAAATAATTGTGTGGTTAGGAAATTTCCCGTAGCAAAGAATCAAAAATTGACTATCTCAATAGATGTTGCCAGTAAGGCCATTTTCGGGAGACAATTAAAGACAGAAGTGGTAAATTATGCAATAGATAAAGTCATTCATATTAGCGAGAAATATTAGTAAGGAAGTATGGAATACTCTTAATTACAGCCGACTGAATACAGCGATTGAGTGTTTGATTACTAAGCGATCAAGTATAGTGATTCTGTATTATCCAGAGATAGTATACAGCATACTGTATTGATGTAGGCAGTACGTAATTTAGACACTCAATTCCAAAGTGAGTGCAAAAAGCAATGAGTAAAGCATCCTAGATATTGCTTCCGAGAAACACAATGACATGAACGATAAAGATGAAAAAAGAAAAGAAAAATCATACCACGTCCATCGACATATGCTAGATGACCTCGGAGCATGACCCGGCGAACTTGACCACGAACAAGTCTGCCAGCAAAAGGGCTCCAATTAGCCCGAGTAAAGAATGAAGGTTCAGCTTCTGACTTGCTTTCCCACGCAGCTCCAGGAATACGCCATTCAGCACTCATATCTACTTCAACCCACGTTTCGCCATATATCCCTCGACTAACTGAATTTACAGCTTCATATAATGTGTGGGCGGTTGGTATTCCAAATATTTTGTATGGATTTATATACAAGCGCTCAATAAGTTCAGTAAGTGTAAGACGGCCATTATACATAGCTGTTAATAACAATGACAGCATTGTTTCTAAACCTGGAAATCCAGGAGGTGCTCCTGATACCCTACTTTTTTCAGAGATAGTGTGTGGTGCATGATCAGTTGCGAAACAATCAATTGTGTTCATGTTGGCCCAAAGAGCATTTACATCATCGGTTGTACCGAGTCGTGGGCGCACTTCACCTGGAAAACAATATGTAAAATATTTTTAATTGCTGCTGAAATAATGTCATGATGAACATTATAAATATCAGTCAGTAACATGCAACGTAGAGCCTGGCACATGTGTACATCGTTTCATGTCGCCACATTCTATTAGCATAAGGAGAAAAAAATTATCAAAGCAATTCCAAAACAGTACAGGTAGAAACAACATTAATGGTGGTAGGAAAGTTTAGGTATAAAACAAACGATGCAGCAAGAGAATCTGAATGATACAAATTTAGGATACAGGGGATAACAAAGAGTGAGTGAACCTTCGCCATTTCGATCTATTTTCAGACATTACTTAAAGTATACAACCTTTGGTTACGGTAATCATGCAGACGCCAATCAGATGGTCTGCAGTTATTTGCATGGCTTAGTCCAACAGTCCGTATCTTAATGCCTTGGTTTAACCGTCAATAGCTTCCTTTTAACATACACTTATATCAGCCATCATCGGGAGTCGAAATGTTCGGTAAAGATTACCTTATCAACCGATTTGTCACACTTACCGAGAACTTTACGTACAATTTCTTACTCGATGCTCCTAATATAAACGAGCAATGAATTAGAAAAATCTGTGATTCAATGCTAGTAACCTACGACTATCTATTTTTAAAGGCTACTGCTATAAAGGCAATCAGTAGAATTGATAAACTACATGATTCAATGAAATAAAAGGCCAGACGGTTTGGGATAAAGTATAACATCACTTAAATACAGCGGTAGGAAGATTATTTCCTCTCGAGCTGGATTTGTAAGCTATTTCACTTGTTTAGTTTAATTTATTTCTGTAAATAATATTACTTGCAAGCGACATCAGCACTAATTACTACTTTACCACTATTATAATCCAAAGCAAAATGCTTTCCTCGTAAGGTGGATTTGCAAAGAGATTCCGATCCTGAATTGTTCTCAACTCACGGAACTAAGAAACTGTGTTAACCCCTAGAAGCACTGTATGAATTATACATACGTTATTTGAAGAGTTTATTAACATGAAACGCTAGTAACTAATTGGGTACGTCATAAATCCCCCCTCTGCTTAAATGTTTCAGGATATCTAAGAGAGAATTTAAAGCGAGAAGGATCAAACTACCGTCAGTGATAAGCAAAGTTTTTAACGGTATTGCTGGATTGAATATAAGATTTAGTAGATGTTAGGATATTCACCAAATATCCTAAGAATACTATTTTTAGAAGTACAATCCTATTGGTCGATTTCTATTGGCCGAAATTATGATCGTTCTTACCGTCAGGGTCAAATACTTCAATGTTACCTCTTATTGGTCATCTGGACGGTCAATGTCATTCAAATGTTCTTTTCTATCGATCGTCCTAAATTGTCAATGTCACAGACGTTGATGCTTTTTCTTATTCGACCTTAGTGTATAAATACGCGCTATCTGAAAGACTTAATAATTCCGTTTCCTCTGCCTGCCTCTTCTTCTGTATTCGACCCAATGAACAGCTTCCTTCCACGGTGTTGCGTTCTGATATCTAGGAGATTTGGAAAAAGCATTTTGGGTCGTATTGGGATATTTGAATTGGACGCCGTTAGGACTGAAGAGCTATACGTAGCAGCGTTACAACAGTAGACGATCGACTTAGAGGTCAGCAATCAGTGAGAATCAAACACATACAAAACAACGAGTAGCAAGAAAATTAAACTTGATGGCGAGGCTATGAGAGAGGTGAACGCCTTTGCTTGGGCAGCATTATTAACAAACAAGAATTTGATGTAAATAGAAAGGCATGAATTAATAAAGCAAGGGGAACATTTCTACGATTGAAGAATATCTGAAACTCAAAACAAATTTCACCCAAGACCAATGACAAGATTTTCAAAACAGCTCTATTTTACGGAGCTAAAGCTTAGAGAACTACCAATCATGTATAAAAAAACTCTCTATGCAAAGAACTCTAGGTGCTTTGGTTAGAGAATATCAGGAATAACTTATTCTAGCAGAAAACAAACAAGCCGCCACTTAAGGATGGAATGAAGATAAAAACGCTAGAAGTGGACGGGACACACTATGCGGAAACAATCACACTGTATCAAGAGATAACCCTTAACTTGGAGTTCTCACGATAAACGAAAGAGGGGAATCGAAGAATGCATAGTGCCTGAAATTGGACGGAGACCGTTGATACCACTTGACAATAACGGGAAAGGAAAACATTGGAAAAAGTTGGCTGGATATTTTTGATGAGTGGTTTACTCTATAGGAGTAACAGGATTAATTAAGCAAGTAAGTATTAACAAAAAGGACACTTTTTTAGTAATAGGTGTATCTGATAACCATAAAATATATTCGAGGACCCAGTAAACCGTACACAAAGATAAGAGTTATACACAAACTACACTAGTAACTGATATAATGAAGATTTAAAGGAGTAAATACATTAAATTTTGTCACTGATTATTTTATCAGATAAAAGTATTGTAACGTCTTATCAAACACAATGATTGACAAATAATTAAGTAGAAATTCATAATAAGTTATCACTCATGAGATTATTTTAAATTAGATTGACTTTAAAGATTTTCTGTGAAAGTTATGAATCTTAATTTAGAGATAGATAGTTTTTAAGTCAGCAAAAACTTACCGGTACACAAATGTTTACTGAATGAGATCGATACGGTGTTGTGTTTGTGGCGTGATATGGACGATGGTTAAAAATAAAAGCTGTCTTCAGTCAATCAAGTTACATTGTTTATTGATTACTTAAAGGTATACAGTTACTGTAGTTATTATTATCCAAACAGGAAGTCCTAACAAACCGATACTGTGTGATCTGCTTATCTCTAGTTAGCGCATTAAAAGCTATTGAAAATAAAATTCAAGTGTTCTTTTCATGATAAACTTTTAACGGAGTAAATTAGAGGTGAAAGGTCAATCTATCAGCAGAATAATTCAGATATACGAACAATTACTAGATATTTAAAAATTAGTATTGGAAAGAGTGACTGATTATCATAGTAACAACATGTCGATAAGTCAAAAACCGAACTTACTCCAACCACCTTCTTGAGGTAAATCATCTGCAGTTAAGAATAAATGATGTGGACAAACTTCACACGTGACTTTTAGTCCACGTTGTTTTGCATCACGAATTAACTCGATTTCAGATCTACGTGCGACATGACAAATATGCACACTGCGTCCAGTGAGCTCCGCTAAAAGAATTACAGCGGCAATAGTTTCACCCTCAGCATGACAACACACTGGACGATTACTTGGCCAGTTCTTTAAAAGTATAAATATGAATATAGATGGATACAGAGAAAATGCAATTTTTTGGTAAAAATCATCAAAAAACCAACCAATAACTAAGTATCGTCATCAAGATGGAACTTCATGATTTCAAATAAATTGAGTATCGGGCAGATTGTTAACAACAAAATAATGATATGTTTATGTTACCCCTATGAGTTGACTTTTGTGACCTGGTGCAAGTCATTTCTTTAGAGTAAATATGTGAATAAACCATTTAAATTATTACGTACTTAAATACCATAGAGAAAAAGGTAAAATATTTGGTTTATTCAAGATCAAAATAGGTCATTTTCATGTCATTCTTAGTCAAGGTAATTATGTGAGACGTCAGATTTTCAATAAAACAGCTGACGGTTGGAAATGCTGTAATTCGAATAGCGAACAAGATCCCTTTCATTTCTATGCAGAGTTGCTTCTACAGATTATACTGTGTCGATTGCGATGATTTCTACATTGAAGAGTCTATTCACGAAATCTCGACTCGAGCTACGAAACTCACGAGTCGCTCAAAAAGACTTCACAGTCCTGTAGAACTGGGAAATGTACAAGTAAATCGACAATAGAAAGGCCCGATTATTCATCCAGTTTGCACAGTCTGAAAAAACAGCTATATACTCAAGATCAGTGAGTCGGCACATAATAGTGATAATGTATAACTATAATCAATCCACAATACTGCGCGAATATTTACCAATGTTTTCAATGAGATATATCATTTCATTATAATATTAATAAACGTTAGTAAAATGACTGAAAACCAAATACAATTTATGCAACCTTTTACATACAGATACTTAATGACTGGTAGAACCAAACAAGATAACATGAGGTATAATTTGTCTAGTTTTTTATTACATGAAATGGATTGAAGTAGTAAAAAAAGAACGGGAGTGTACAAGTGAGTGGAGGCATCATTATATCAGTCTAACGTGTCAATATTTGTTTACAACCTATTTTGTTTACAAAGGTGTGCATTGATTGCAAGAGGTCACTGAGCACATTCCAGAAAAATAGTTACATGAAAGAATGCAGACAAGAACAATCACATATGTATACTAATCAAGTTGTCTGAAATATCGAAATAATAAGCAAATATGATAGAATTACCGAGAAAAATTCTTTTGAGTTGAAAGAATTTTCATGATAGTTAGAGTTAAGTACGATTATTAACTTTCTGCTTAGATTGTATGAGTTAATATTTGTTCCTACTTAAAGGACTTCACTAAGTATCACTTTTAAGCTGATGACATACGGTTGATCTAGACTTTTAGATAGACTTTTCAGATAGGCTAAACATATAGGGAACCATAATGACTAATCGCTTATCACTAACATTCGTCTCAAGTATATGAGTTACCTGATACTCTATGTACACTACCTAACTCCTGGTTTCTGAACTCTCATTAATGTCTGAATCATAATTAAGAAGAAATTAAGATTTGCCAGGTTGAAGAAACCTTATTATAACAAGAAAGAACTCATTAATAAGTAGAGCAATTGATCATCAATTATCAGTTTTTGACCTAAATTTGTTCAGTTTTAACTAGAAAAGGTATGTGAAATATACAGATTACATATGAATTAAGTGATAATCAAGAACGTTGTGTAATTTCACAATGATGATGAGAGAAGCATTCTAATCGTACAATGAGACTGATATAGAAAGATATACCTAAAGAGATTTTATTGAATTTTGTATCAAACAGTTAAGTTGTAAATATGGAATTTTGTATTTATTACATAAAGAAGTAATGGTTACACAGATGATTACCGTGCAGTGTCAGAGACCAAAGTGAATTTTATGCATTTTTGAAAATATCCAGGATACCGAATTCTACTCTGTGATAAAACGGCATGGTAATAATGATAAAAATGATACTACTAATAATAATATCATTATTAATTTCCGTTCAAATAATGTTATTCAAAATAGAGCAAAAGCTTTTTTTTTTCTCATACTTACTTCAAAATGTTGACGCCAAATATTAAGCTTGTTACTTAATGATAAACAAGTAAATGTTTCATTGAGATACATTTTGAGTCCAATAGCTTTGTGGGATAGAGAACCAACAGTAAAAACATTTTCTGACGATGCACCGACAAAAAGACCATAATCACAACACGCTTTTGATGCTGCATTTCTGCTCATTAAGTTAAAGCTATCTTCGTCAACTATTGCAGGATCAGTGTTTGGCATTGCTAAAATAGTTACAATCCCACCAGCAAGAGCAGCTTTAGTAACAGATGTCCAGTCCTCCTTGTACTCCATTCCAGGATCCCTGTATGAATAACAGAAAAAGATATAATTAACGAGTCGTGGTTTTTAAAATTACTAGAGGATAGTTTTGAAAAGATTTCATTAACTGACTTTTTTCATTTTGTAGACAATTTCATAAAAGATGGATTGGAAAATAATCAACTTATCACGTAGTTAGATAAAATGGTTATAGGTGTGCAGAAGTCGTGGATGCGTACTGCTGATGAGCCCCATACCAGGAAGAAACGGCCGTCCAGTGGCTTCCAGGTTTATAACGGTGGTCTAACAATGATTGATTGATGATTTCAACGTATAGCTGTTACATTGTAAAACAAAGTGAAACGAGTATATAAGAAAAAAAGTTGTGACCTATTTAACCCGAAGAATCTTAGACATAAGGTATTCATTCCTCATATGAAATTCATGAAGCAATCGGGATTACTTGGTGATGGTTGAAGGAATCGAATCCATCTATTATATGTTCCCTGGGATTTTACCATGCTGTGCAGGTCATTTGGGGAGCGGTAACGACAAAAACAGGAAATCTGACATTCAAAAATTAAGTCTAATAGTTAGTGCGGAGAACCAGCACAATTCAATTATAAGTTGTCTAAACATTTATTGACTTCTAGTGATCTGGATGGTGTGGGTCTATTTCGGACTTTGAAAGTGAGGTCTAATAGAAAGCCTATCTTTTTTTCATTCCTGAATTTCGATCATGTTCATGTGTACGACAGACATAAAGAACTTTTGGAGTTTAGTCCAAAGATGGAAATATTACAGACATATTGAAAGAAGAACTAGCTAAGCACTTAAAGCTACATGAAAAGGATGTTTATCTCCAACTAGTTGGTCTTGATACTCAAACAGATTTATTACTGTGAAACATTGTTTTTTGAAGTATAGAAAGTGCGTAAGTTACTACTAACTGATCAACGGTGTATTTGTCACCAATCATTCGTGATCAACGCAGAGCCTGGTACATCTGTGCCTTGGCTTAAATTGCCAAGATAAGATGAAATTAGAAAAATAAATGGTGAAGTAATTAAAACGTAATAGAAATGACAGTGTGAAAGACTGGAAATTGTGAAAAGATAGAATGGAAAGGTAGGTATGAAGTAATAGTGGGGAACAGCGGAAATCAAAATCGCGAGAAAGATAATAAATACATGAATCTGTTCCACTGTTACTAGTACTGAGTCATTTCATTTCAAACTAACAATCGCAGTTATTGGTTATACCCTAATTTTCATCTACCAATATGGCTGAGACCATCGGTCAGTAACTTCACAGACTGATTAATGTCTTCGTTTGAACTTTCTGAGGCTCCTTTCCTCTACGCCCATACCAGAAAGCATCACTTATATTGGGAGGTAGTGGTCAAGCATACATAGCGTGTCCTAAACCCCTGAGTCGATTAAGGTTAACAACCTCATGAACCGATTTTTCTCGATTGCTTAATACTCTGTTCCCACACTCACTATTTCTCACTTCAGTGTTATAAAGTGTATTTGAGGTGTTGTTTGTGTAGTATAATCATTAAGTGATTGATGTTGAGGTTAATCCTAGAGTACCAGTTAAAGATGGGAAACTAGTTGATAAGACTCTGAATCTTTATCGACTGAAGTAGTTGGGACAAGTGTCAGACATGTAAAGATATACGTCTGATGCGTAACGTCCATTAGAGTACATCTGGAAAAAGCTAGTGTGAGCGAATCCAGACATTTAATTGGTCCATGAAACTAATATCATCAGTTCGAGATGTATAGGGAGGAGCATAGTTACTGGTTAAGTGAGATTATTATGATGGATAGGTGAAGAATGTGCACGATATGGCTCAAAATCGGTTGTAGTCTATTTAGCTAACTCCTTCCGGACAATGTTTTCCACGTCTAGGTTGCTTTGTTACTCATTCATTTTCACTACACGTGCTAGCGCTGCATAGCACATTTCTGCTTAATACTGAGTTGTTGGTGAATGACTGAAATAGAGTGTGACTAAAACATAAAAGTTCAATGATAATCTTAGTTAGTTGCACCCATGATCTAGTTACGTCACTTAACTCAGACATTATGACCTAGTTTTAGTAATTCATGTTAAAATAAGATTAATGCCTGATTCAAAGATGTTTTGGCATTGCAATACATATTTTTTTATGTGTTTATCTACAGATGATAATAAGAGTGACAACATTATCATTAACAAAGATAAATAGTCAAAATGTCAATAACATATACAGTCTACTCACAATTAACCTCTACCAAATAGAACACATAGTTAAGAATAAACACAGCAAAGGATATCCACAATAACCTCTGGATATGTGCTTGAATGTGGTATAAAATCATATAACTTGTTTATAATTACTCAAATCGCCTTGATTGGTTTAACATTTTCATATAAATATTGATGTATATTAAAGTAAAGCTTGATGACGATCTAGTCGAAAACAATATTGTTCGTTTATATGTGCTGTTCTAAAACCAAATCAGTACATTCCTGTCAGATTAAGTTGTCATCAGTATGACATAACTTTTCAAAATAATCAAGGATCCATTCGGTCAATTTATTCTCAAATTTACAAACTAAATCATAATTTTAGGTGCTTTAGTAAAATTTAGCAAATTACAGATCTGTAAAATTCTAGAAACAGTTATTGATCCAAAATATATGTAGATCTTATTTAGCACTTCTTAATTAGCACATTGAACTTCAGTCGTGAAACATTCATAAATAAATAAAGGAATGTGTAACCGATAATCAGTTGTTCAATAACTTGATTTTTAGCACTGACAATAGATTCTGATAATTACAACCAACTTTAATTTGTTCAATACTGTTGTGTGTACCTTTTAGGCAAGTGTGATTACAAAGTGAGCACACGAATCTGAAGTGTTTTTACGAAATGAATTAACTTTAAAGTACATTTTGTAAATGATATACTATTTGATAACTGTAACGTGATTTCCACAAATAGTCAAAGAATCAGATGTGAGCATTAAAGTAAATATCTAACAAATTATGAAACACCTTGAGTTTTTCTAATTAGGATAGCCCAAAGGAATTTTTCCATGCATCACCATGTTGCATTCTGTCAGATTATCAGTGAATAAATATAAACTATAAGGTAACTATTGCATAAAGCATTACCTGGTATGAACATGAATATCGATCAATCCCGGCAAATATATTATTTGACTGGAAGTAATTGAATGCAATGGAAGTAAACGATGAAGGAAGGATTGTTTATATACATTATATTCATTATCTTCCGATTTTATTTGTGGTCTATTTGCACTCTGTCCATGAAAATAACGATAAAGAGCTTCAATAAGAAGTTTAGCCAGTTTTACATCAGTTAGAAGTGGCACATTTGTGTCAACAGCAAGACGTCTAGTTTGATAGCCTGAACAGAGTTAATGAAAGAAAAAGAATTACTGATAATCTTCAATGAATCAACAAACAACATGGTGGGTTTCGTAAATCTTAACTTCTTTTGCGATTCGATCAGCTTTTAGTTACAAATTACAGATGCAGACGCATAAACAACTAAATGTCATAAACTAATGTTAAACCAGAATGAAACTATCACAGGGATTAAAATTGAAATATGAATGTGTTCGGGGTTCACTGATAGAAATTCAGATATCTTAACAGCCGTTCATCACATACATTGTAAAGGAAAGGAAGAATTATTTCCTGATATTACTTTCGATTTTAAAAAAAAACAGAACTCTTACATAAAAAAACATCATTGCCTAAGAATGTGCACTTAAAATTACTGTTAACGGACCTTCTCAAAGCATTTCGAAAACATAGTCTCAAGTTTGAAGGGATGTATAGATATTATGAGTTGGTTCATAGACTAACTAAAAAGGTGTGACATTATGTGTAAGGTTAGCAAACTAGCGTATATATTTAATTTAAATTCTAGTTACTTTTTAAATGCGTACAATAGTTTACTAGTTAGTTTGGAATTTCTAGGTTGCATTCTACATGTAGTTTTCAACTAGTGTTTTCAATATTAGCAACATTAAATGCGATAAGTAAATTAAAAACTGATTTTGTATAATCTTGTCAATAAGAAAACAGTAAAGCAAGTAACATATTCCTTACCACGTGTGACAAAGGCAGAAAGACGACGAGATCCCAGTTTTTTTAATGATAAACTAACGATTAAGGAAAACAGTTTATCTTTAAGATACTGTTGAATTGTACCTTCTTTTGAGTTTGCATCACTATGATTTTGAATTCTAAAATAAAAATCGGTAAATCGTTAAATGGTAGCCATAATACGAGAGGAAAATTCCTACAACATATTCATCTACATAGGGTTACGGCAAGAAATGGAAGACTAATCACATAATTAAAACATTATTAAGAATAAAGTGAACTTTGATCAAAATGACAACTATTTTAAAATATTGAGGAAAAGGCTAGGAAAAGAACTCACTTATTATCGAAGTTATTCATATCTGATTCTTCGTAAGGCCATTCAACTGGAATGATAGAAATCCCTTGAGTTTGATAGAAGTCAGCAGTTCCACAGCTTCCGTATAATTTGTACCCAAGTCGGTGTAACTGTTTAACACTATGAAACAATGTACAGTAAAGTTAAAAATTGAACAATGCTGTCATTTTGGTGGTGATGCAATTCATCATCCAGAAATCATTTGATTAAAAGAATGTGTTAAAGCAAGCTTCAAGTAAGTTATTGGAATCATATGATACAAAAAGTATAAAGTACTCGTTGACTTGGATAAAATGGAATATAGTTGGCTCTTATAGAACAAGATGAACTATGGCTAGCAGTGAAGTCTAGGAAGTGTTTCAACCAAATTAAGACTCAACAGCTGGATGTATACCTAGATTCCAGAATTGTTATTTGCACGGGAACTCAAATTCACTACCTTTTACTCCGAACACCCGATGCTTTACCTCCTGAGTCACTCAGCTTAGGCAACTACTTACGTAACATGTATGGGTTTTCATTCGATTTAGAATAGTTTAGGTTCAAGATCCAATGCAAGCATCAACACTGGGGTCTAGGTACACCCAACTTATGAGACCCGAACGGAATAGAGATTGCGTTTCAGATCGAATTTGTTTTCTAACAAAATGGCTATGTCCAGAAAAGCAACTACGGCTGATCGAAATTCGAAATGACATTCACTTTTGTTTATTCTTATTGTACACCTGGTAGTCATCAAACATTCTAGCTACTACTAAAATAAGAAAAATCGACAATAAGGCAGTACTATTCAAACAATATCAGAAAGTTCTCAATATAAATAGATTGGTTTGATTCGTTTTAATAAACATCTATTGATCTTTAATTTCGAAAACAAATCTGAAATAAATTATTTATCAAACAAACAACCTCAACTGAGAAACAAATAATAAATTTTGGTTGTAACAATAGGTGTGTGATAAATGTTGAGCATGTAATATGTCAATTATTTAACTAGTTAAAAAAATATTGAAGATATTAGAAACAATAATCGAAGTACTAAAAGTAATCTATAAACTGAACGACATCCATCACTCATTTGTTGAAGTCGAAATCAACAAAGCATAGAATCAGAGATGACTCAATCGTCTGTAATAAAGTTTATAGATCTTAAAATTATGGCGGATACATTATGTACATAAATATTCGGTCGCCATTTAATTTTTTTTAAGTATGACTATTAGTTTTATGATTAACCAAATTATCAAGAAATTGTTCTAAAAATATGCTGAAATGGCCACTTACTAAGTGTTTGCAAAAACCTACTTATCTAATAGAGAGCTATTTTAAACACTTCAGTTAGTTACAATTTCTAGACATTATTCTAACTTTTGACAACCAAATAACATGAGTGAAAAGAAACAGTACAAAATACTTTTCCAAAAATTTAGGCTTTTTATACTAAGATGCTAAGCATTACATACGAAGTGTTTTGCTCTTCCCGCTCTTTATATAATATGAAAACTCGTCACAGAGAACACTGGTCAGTGGCTGATTTATGGTCGAATTTCTTGATTTGGATGTATTGATTAGCAGAGTGTGGATAATATAAGTTCATATAATTATAAATTGTTTGAAAGGAGGAAGTATGCGAAGAATTTTACTAACCTTGGAAGCATTTCCAATTTTTGACGATAACTTCCTATAGACAAAAATATATTATCACCTGGTTTAGGGAGAAGTCCATTTGTATTACATAGCGCAGCAGCTTGTGCTAGCAGATAGGCTTCGTAGCGATCAACACCAAAACATGCTACTTCACCAGTACTGACCATTTCGACCCCCAACAAAACATCAGCACCCAAAAGGCGTGCGAAAGAGAATACCGGGACCTTGGATACATAAATGTTTTTGCAATTTAGATATACATCAGTGAAATAAAGTTATGGTGCACTTGACTAGAGTTCATAGAATTTATGGTTTAATGTTTTAAAAGACTGATAGATTGTTATAAGAGAATACTTAGTTTTACTGAACGCTTGATGATAACTACAGAGATATATAACTACTAAAAAACCTAGCCTCTGATTATAAGGTCAATTTACAAACTATATGTCTGAAAATATACTTCTACCTTAATTTGCTACCGATGTTTTCTAAAGCGGTTACTGAAGATAGATAAACAATAACAATACTAAGCAAGGATTCTAGTTCCTCATAAAATGAGAAATATCTGATACAAAATGACTTTTATCACAAAAGCATACCTTTACACCAACGTATCCGACAGTATTTTCCAAAATGTTGACAGATGGTTCGAGAAAAGACTTAGATAAAGACAATCTTTCCATTTTTGAACTGTGTGTATCAAATGGGGGATATATGGAATCTCGTGCTGCGCCAAGTATGGCTCGTGTAGCAGCTGCTATGAAATCATACTTTAGTGTTTTAGATACAAACGGAAATGAACGAGAGACTCTTAAGTTGGCTTCGATGATTAAAAGACGATTGTCTTTAGCAAGAAGTTGTAGGTTGAATGGACCTGAGACTTCGAGTTCATCTGCTAAGGCTCGAACTAGTTCTTTAATAAGTTTCAGAGTTTCTTCGTTGAGGTCTTGAGGGGGTGTGACAAGTGTTGCATCACCTGAATGGACACCCGCATTTTCCACATGTTCAGAGACAGCCATTGCGACGAGACGACCGGACTGTGCAACAGCATCAACATCGATTTCTTTGGCATCCAAAATAAACTGGCTTATAACAACTGGATGTTCTGGACTAATATTTTTTGCAGCAGATAGGAACGTAATTAATTGATCATGGTCATTTGCAACATTCATAGCAGCACCAGATAACACATAGCTTGGTCGAATGAGACATGGGTAACCGACCTGTAAATTAAAGGAGAATAAAAATTTCTCGGTGAGAGAATATGATATATAGTGTTATTGATAATACATAGGGTAATTTTATCACCACCAATTCAGTAACATTATTTTAGTGTCCTAAATCAATCAGGTTAGTGAACACATTAGCAAGCTGACTTGTACTAAGACTTTAATTTAATTCTGGAAGAGGTGAAATCAGTTACCTCTAAGTAATTTATCAGTCAACAAGTCATGACAAACAGAGTACCTGACACACGTGCATCAGACCAAGCTGATAAACCAGATCAGTAAAGTGAACTGAGACTATTACGATTAATAATGAAGTATGAGGAGCAGTAGTATCAGAGATAGTAGAAAAATATTAGGCTAAAGAATTCAGTTGGAGAATAAACCAATTTGAAAAATAAAAAACACAAAATATTTTGAAACTTAGCATAAAGAGGAAAGCAAAGAGTGAATCCATCTGTACAATTACGACTGGTTTTAAGCCACATCATTCAAAGTTTTCAACCACTGATGACGATCAAGTAGCCCGGATCTACCAACATGGATTAGTTCAACAGTGAATAACTTTATGGACGGATGCTATATATTGGTTTGGTCACCCCTAACTTCTTAAAAACCTAATCTTACACCAGCAATCATCGCTTGTCGAGATAAGCAGTTGTTGGATATATGTAATACATACCCGACCACATCAGTCGATGAAGATTGACAATTTTTTAATTAGATTTATCATCCTTGCCTAACATACTGAATTTAACTTCAAAATTTCACACTCAGTGACCCCAACGTATGCGAGAAATTCTTTATGTCAAATACTAGTACCCTGAGTGTCCTTTATCTATGATTTGAACTGATTGGAAGGAAGAATTCACTATTCTAGAAAACAAAAAGTTACCGCTCAATGAATAAATAATTTATTGAAATTTTCAAATTTATATCCTTGTGATGAGAATTAACAAGTATCCCATTCCAAACGACAGTATTATTTTAATATCAATGTGTTTTTATGGATATTAATTTATTCCATTTTTTTATGAAATATTTAAAACAAACATCTTCATGATAAAGGCAAATAGTTTTTAAAACTATTTCAGTGATGAGAATAAGTTAGGCAAGTTCATATATTAGATACTCTGCTTTATTCAAAGTGTGTTTTATGCAACTTCTTTACTGGATGGACTACATGCGCTTACTTTTTAAGGTCTTTGATTTGGTATCAATAGCTTTGAATCAAGTATATATAAGGATTGGTGAATTTCAAGTAAAATAAATGGGGTCCATATTCAATTAAGCTATGTAAGACTTGTTAAACTGAAACAAGCTTCTACTGCAGAACAGTTATTACCCATTACGGACTGAATTATTGAGTCAACAATGACAAACAAGATATACTAAAAATTGTACTATTTGATCGGGACTGATTGTAACTCAAATAAATAGATAGTTATCGAAAATTCACTTGTTCAGATTTATAAAAATACTGATCCATCTGAAAAGTAGTTTTCGGAAAACGACTACGAATTTGATATCCACGGTGAGAATTGTGTCATATTGTTAAAGATGACAGAATTACGAGCAAAATAAAATACGAAATTATAGAACGAAATTTGCTTACTTCTTCACAGAAGGCTTTAGCTGAATCGATGTCAGTCAGTTCTTTCCATCTAGGCTGTGATAAACCGATACAATCCAACAAACGTGAAAACTTGAAACGATTTTCAGCATTATCAATAGACTCAGCACTTGTACCGAAAATGGGAACACCTAAACGATGCATTGGCATAGCGATATTATTCGGTGTTTGGCCACCCATGCTTACGATAACACCGATGGGTGATTCGAATCTGTAATGAAAGTTAGAAATTAAGGTTGACACACGAAGTATAATTAAATGATATCAAAAAGTTAAATTCCGGACATACAAAATGTTTTATACGAAAGTAATGATATACATGATGAATTCACGAAATAATCTGTAAGTTATTCATGCCCAAAACTCGAAATCAAAATTTACCACATCTGGATAATGGCTCGTTATATAACTGCCATAACAGTGGTTTCCTTCGGAGATCAATGATCTAAGATCGATAATGCGCTTGGTGAATATCGGATATCATCTGAATCTACTGCAGATAAATTTATTCAGAGATTTGAACACTTGATAGCTAATTCGATCACTCAAAAAGATCAACAATGTTTGAAAGCGGTAACCACAGTAGAATCATCCAGCTATTAACCCCGGACCACTAGTTTGAATCCAAATGAAGTTATTTCTTTCCAAGCAGTCAAGTAATATCACTAGACCTTGAGACAAAATTTGTGACTCAAAGCTTAATAAACGAACCTGTAAACGATTACAAAGCTGTACTAAGGAAAAAGAAACAAAAAAAAACACCAAATGCAAGCATCATATTTAATACAACTTTGAATATCGGTTTGTATACACTGGATTGTAAACCCTATTTTATAAACTCAGTAAACATAAAATGAATCATACCTAGAAGTATATTAAAATAATAATTTAATAGCAGATTGAACCTGATTGCATTGAGGCAGTTGAGGGATCATCAAGGTGAAAACTTGTCGCATCTGGTCAGGAGATTTGCTTCGAGGGCATCAGTAGCCATCTGATCAACCTAGACACTATGATATATACTACAATTCTTAGGACACTAGAAAACTAAAAGTGGCGCTGAAAGTACGAATGTCACAGGGCCTATTTTTTGTTAACAACCCCTTTCCAAACGAATTACTAAGTTCTTAGGATCGTTTAGTTGTTTAATCAGCGGTATAGTAACGAACGAGTAAGGTAACTTTTAATCAAGATAGTGTCATTAAAGTCACGTAGATAAATATGAGACTGTTTGGAAGACCTCTTTCTTCAGAAGTGTATATTTCCTGCTAAATAAAAAGTCAAATTACATAAAACATGTTTAGATTACATCGGACTTACTCGTATATATCTAGAACGCGTTCAAGAGATAGTTCATCGAAATAGAGTCTGTCACACATATCGAAATCAGTTGATACAGTTTCAGGATTACAGTTGATGATAGTTGTTTTCCATCCTAAGCGTCGAAGTTCTTTGACACAACCAACAGCACACCAGTCGAATTCTACACTAGAGCCAATACGATAAACTCCAGAGCCAAGAACCATAATGCTTGCTTTAAAATAAAATAAAACAATGAAAGGATAGTACATATATCAGTAAGAAACTTGTTTAATGTGTTTCCAGCAGTAACTCTCAATCATCCTCTAAGACGCCTTTTACAAAGATTTATCTTCCATCTAAAAATCTACTAACTACGATTTTGTCCATTTTACATCAATTTACTAAAAATGCAAATAAATATCTACGTAACTTTAGTGACTAGGCGGTGAACATGTATGTTGAAAAAACTTATTTGTAAGCCAACTTCAAGCATTAATTTACCTGCCGCTTTCACTCTGCTTGTTAGAGTTAACTATTATGGAAACTTTTAGCAATAAATTTGTTGCGAAATTCATCCGGTAACACAAATATACACCTACAAATACTTTGCTGAAATGGTTATACTGTCTTTCTTTGCACTTTTGTTCGACCCTAAGGCACACAACCTCAGTAGTACTTTTAAAAAACAATGAGTAAACACAAAATTGGTCTACCGCTATTCTATCGAATCCGTTTGGAGAAATGATCAAATAGTATTTTGTGACATGACGTTTATTGAAATGTGGCATATCAAACTTTGAACATGCACAAGTCACATGATTTTTTGTAGAAGAAATATGATAAATCGTTCCATACAATGGACGTCAGTAGAATAGAATTTCCGACATAACTAAATCGAACAAGGGTATAACTGACACAAACTTACATTTTTGCTCAGGTGAAACATCATGAACTTTAGCCACATTCATGCACTTTAATAACAGATCTATCATTTCTTGTGATACAAAAGTTTCTGTTTGACAGTCGTGAAAAGATTTCAGTAAACGGTGAATATTGCCTAGTGGGATATCTGCATAAGTTGTGTAAAGATAATTCGTAGCTGCAGGCCATTCTCCAGCAACAGTGTCGACTAAACGAATGACTGGGTTTAAGTTAAGATGTCTGCGAAACCAGCGAACCATAACTGCAGTTGAATGTAAAGCACAAGCTAACTGAACATCACTGAAACCAAGCCTTTTGGCAGTCATCACTTTCTCAGTATGTCGGACTAGAGTGTAAAAAGAGTTGCTGTCTGGGACGGTTGTTTGTATACACTCTAATAACTTTATAGCGTTTGCGAAAGCGCCCTCGTGTAGCTGAAAGTAAAGAGATTTTAGAAATTGTAAATCAAATATGAAACAAGATTTTTCAAACTGTTGAAAAAGAAAAGCACGTATTAATGATTTTAATTGAACAGTTAAAACCTCCGTTACATTGAGAATAATTCCAGATAAAAAGAGCTGAAATATCTGTTACTTTCACTCTTTATAAAGTAATAGGATGTAGGGGTATCGCATATTTGCGAATATGTCGATTTACAAAATGTTCGATAAGGACATAAAATTATATTACTGGAAAAACGACGAATTAGCTAGTATGTCTCGACTTGAATCAAACGGATCTAATTTTTTTGCCAGTTAACTACAAAACAAAACTAGTATCATGAAGTTTGATAGACTGTTAATGGTATGCAAACATTTGATTAAGTTCGGACGTAACAATTAAATGGTTATACAAACACAAAAACAGTACCACACATCCTTAACTTATATGAGGATTCATGAAGTTAATGCTCACATATCTGCGTCACTAAATCGAATGTATTGTGCCGCTACGCAACGACGAAAAGTTTTACTTAAACGTGGCTCAGCTGTCACGTTTATCCTGGCAGCGATATACTGTTCTTCCACGGTGTGAGCAGCCGGAAAGTGATATTCGCCCTACCCTACCACCCGTAACAGCACGCGTCTGTGCTGATGGGGTATGGCAACTTGAACTTATGTACTCATGTAGGAAGTTCTACGTTGTAACTTACTGACAACTGAGCCAATCAGCCAACGTACATGCCTAAAAATATATACATACAGTTGAAATGATTCACAGTACACATAGTCGATCCAACATATTATATTATTCTTTCCTATTACTCCTTATACTTTTACTACCTCTACCACTATGGGATTTGAATTGACAACTGCATCACTGTGCTAATTTGGTATGGCAACTTGAACTGAATCACGCACGTACGAAGTTCTACGCTGTAGTTGACTGACAAATTTCGTCCACCATCAATAGAAATGAATTACTAAAATGATAGAAATCTTGGTAATCATATTGTACTGACTGAACAGAACAGGTATATTTAATTTACTAAACTACCATGACATAAGTAAATTACACAATCGAAAATCATTCTAGACAGTAAGAACAAACAAATGGTTTCATGTGAGTGGTGTTACAGAAACTCTTCGTAAAAAAAATGTGAGAGCAGTCACATCTAACAGGAATGCTATGCGTAAATATCTCCTGCTTCAATGTTGGTCTCCATATTCAACACAAATACTAATGGCATTAAAAGATTAACAAATAACAGACACTGATTATACAACTGAATGACATTATTATTACCGATTTCAACTCTTTTGCGCAATCAACAATGGAGCGCATACGATATAAAAACCATGGATCAATGGACGTAAGTGTGTGAAGACGTTCAACTGACCAACCAGATCGTAGTGCTGCAGCTAATTTGTAGACTCGTTGATCTGTAGGATCAGATAAATCCTCTTCATCAGGAACTTCAGGTAAGCCATCAAATCCAGAGACACTTTCGTTTGTCATTCTAAGGGCTTTTTGTAAAGCTTCTTCAAAGCAGCGAGCTATTGCCATTACTTCACCAACACTTTTCATGGAGCTGCCAATTTTCCGACTCACCTTAAAATAAATTTTTAAGATATGTTTGGCGTCAAAATTAACTTATAAATTTTTAATAACTAATCAAGTGGACACAGCTGCAGGCAATATTGTATCAGATATACTTGTGCACAGGATGAAACACGAGTAAATTAAAACTGAGACGTTTTACGGATACATACCTGATCAAACACATTTATTTATTCCTCTATGCCACTATATTCTATCACTACAGAAAAGCCAAACTTCGACCAATAAAGTGTTTATTTTCATTTTTACGAATTTGCTGATGGTATTTTATTCGTGTAAATATTACTAGTACTATTAGTCATAAATTTTTCAAGTTACAGTTAACATCAAAAAACATGACAGCCCACAATTCGAAAACAAACATAGATTAGTGACAAGATGGCAAGCTGAACTAATCATTGGGTTTTCATATGCCTAATACGTTTTGCAGGGTTATGATAGAGGATGACAGTGCACCGAGCTGATAATTTTTAACTACAAAGTTAGTGATAATCAATGAGACTGCTTCATACTACCTTCTTTGCCCACTAGCAAAATATAGAAGTCTAGAATCATCTAGAAAAATAGGGTACACAAACAATACATAAGTTCAAACTACTCACTAAATGAAATTATCAGTAAGCCATTTTTCAGTAATGCGTTGTACCACTTACAGCACAGTGTATATCAAAGACGTTTTTGTAAATTTCCAAATTGTTTTTTATGCAATCATTATGTAGATTAGGACTTTATAAGATATGACTTTCATTGAGCACAAGGTCCAAGCACAAACAAAACTTTTTATAAGTTAACCGTATCCAGGTTCATACCACTGAACCCACCCAACATCGAAGCAGCACTCACTGACCTCCCAATCAATGCTGGTCCATTAACAATTGAAGAGATCAGCATGGCCATCAGACAAATCAAGAGCGGCGAAGCAGCGGGACCAGTGTAATAGCAGCAGAAGGTTTTAACAAACACGAAAGAAGAAGCAAGATTCTTCGATACAACATAATATGCACCAACCAAACCACACTTGATGGAGATGCTTTTGAAGATGTAAAGACCTTTACATATCTGGACAGCATCACTGATGAGCGAGGTGGATCTTACAAAGATGTGAAGATGCGGATCGGCAAAGCAAGGACAGCGTTTCTACAATTGAACAACATTTGCAGCTCAAAACAACTATCAATCAATACCAAAGTCACAATTTCCAATAAAATGTCAAGAAAGTTCTACTGAATGGGGCGGAAACTTGGAGAACTACGAAAGCTATCATCCGGAAGATACAAGTGTTTATTAACAGTTGTCTACGCAAAATACTTCGCATCGATTGGCCAGATAATATCAGTAATAATCTATTGTGGGAGAGAACAAACCAGATTCCAACGAAAGAAATCAGGAAGAAGCGCTGAAAGTGGATAAGGCATATATTGAGGAAAGCAGACGAATGCGTCTCAAGACAAGTCCTCACATGGAATCCCCAAGGACAAAGGAGAAAGGAAAGACCAAAGAACACATAACGTTGAAAAACAGAGGTATATATTCACAGAATGAACAGCAATTGGATAGAAGTGGAACGGAATGGCTAGGAAAACACTCGTCGGTGGTCTTTGCTCAACGGGTGGAGTCATAGCTTCACGAAGACTGGTAATATTATTTTTTGATAAGTGGAGCTTGTTTTCATTTAAAGCTGAATGATTAAAAATCTAAAGCGGAATACTGAAAAATATGGCAAATGACAGTTAAAATAGTAATTCTTGAAAAATAAGAAAGGGAAAAATTATTTGAACTTACCCTGGAAAACTTTTCCAAATCCCAGCGCGGAACTTTCACAACACAGTAATCTAAACTAGGTTCGAAACATGCTGTTGTGAGACCGCCAGTGACACTGTTTGTAAGTTCTGGGAGACTCATGCCCAAGCTAAGTTTAGCAGCTATATAGGCTATAGGATAACCAGTAGCTTTACTAGCAAGTGCAGAGCTCCTGGAAAGTCGGGCATTTACTTCAATGATATAGTAGTTTAAAGAATGTGGATCTAACGCGAACTGGATATTGCATTCACCAACAATCCGCAGGTGACGCGCAACCTAAAGTTGTAAACCGGAATATGTAGGCAACTAGTATAAATGATATTACTAATCGCTACAACTAGAAAATGCGTATTGAAGAACAATACGAGGAAGAAGCGAGAAGTTTTATAAAAATAATATCATTTAGTTGTAGTGAAGTATATCAGCAAATATGGGTAAGGATCATCAAAAAAACATTACCCGGTGTCTTTTAAAAGGGGAGTGAAAAGATGTGACTAGCTCAGTAGGGAACATTCGATCAACTCTGGACACGTTCTTAAGTTGTCCTTTAAAGTGATTCATACAGTCAAAGTATTGAATCAAATGGAGTTAGGATAAAAACCTTATTCACCGATAAAGCGTTGATAGTCCAGAGACTCAAGCCTGACCTGTGCATGCGGAGATGATATACAAAACCTCTCATCATTCCCTGGCCCTAATCCCATTCTCCAGTGCGCTTCTGATTCTGTTTCGTTTTTATTATTATCTAAATTTTTAAACTGTAATAGGTTTTTACTGCCCCCTATTTATTTGTTGTTATGACCGTTAAGTTTTTCATTTTCTTCATATCTGTCAAATGGACAACAATTTTTCATATATCTGACTTTCAAATTATTTCAACCCCTTGTATTTTCAACCTCTTGATATTTAAAGTCCAGATGATGCAATCTTTTTTGTCTTTCTACAGAATTATATAAATTTTCCAAACAACTATAAATAAGAAAGTAAATAATTTCCGTGAAAAGAAACTTTTCTTGACTGAATTCTATTCATTTTATTTCAACGGATCTTATTGGTTTATTTAACGCATAATTATCCTTAGCTCAAGAATGCTTAGACTTCAAGGCAATGTATCATAATCAAAAAGATTACGTGTCTGTTTTGAAATGAGTCACTTCGATATTCTCTGAACGTAAAATTGTTGTTTTACAGGCAGATACATAAATAATCGATCTACTAACGCACGCTTAATTGATAATTAGTCGTTCAAGTCCCACAAGAAGTTCATAGGTTATGCTGCATGAGCGAATGAACTTCTTACTAGTCACATTTTACAGTCACAGTGGAGCTCGTGCTTATATAGTAATGGTAATAAAAATGTCCTCCAAAACACGTGAGTCTTTTATTTATCCAAAAGGATGGGTAATGATTCTCTCTTAATCAGCTGGCAAGAGATAGGCTCATGACTCAACAAAAACTTGATTGTCACAGACTACAGATGTAATTACATTGGCCTGGTAATGGCAAACAGATCTAGTAAAATCAACAGGCGTAAGGGAAGGCCACGATAAGGTTATAAGATCACTTTTATCAATTACACTGTGTACTACGCTACACAATCATGATCTCAGGCTTTAACTGAATAAAAAACTGAATAACAAAATACTGTAGTTAAGTATATCAGCATATTTGGGTAAGGATCAATGAAAAAAGGTGTACTTACTTTAATTGCAACGGATCTTAACATATAATACTCTACATTTGAGAGTGTTTGACTCGGTGATACAACAATAGATTCCCCTGTGTGGATACCTACAGGATCAACATTCTCCATATTACAAACTGTAATACAGTTGTCATAGGCATCACGTATAACCTAAATAAAAAAAATTTTCAAGTCAGAATATTACGTAGTAGAAATGGATGTGACTTGTAAGAAATATGTGGATAAAATTCGGTACGATTAGTTATATTATAATGAAAACTAACCTCATACTCAACTTCCTTCCATCCCTTTAAAGATTTGTCAATGAAAATTTGAGTCGTCTGTGCCAAAGCTTTACTAGCCAGTCGTTCTAGTTCAATTGAATTTTCAGCGAATCCTGACCCCATCCCCCCAAGTGCGAAGGCAGCACGTACAAGTACAGGATAACCAAGATCGTTTGCAACTTTGACTGCATCCTACAAATATTATAGATGTCAATCATTTCTTGTTCACTAAAACGTGAAACACATGTTATGATGTTTTCCCTACTTATAAACAATGATGCAAACTAATACAAACATCAAAATGCTGACAAACCTGTACGGAGGTGGCTGCATTTGCTGGAGCAACTTTTTCTCCTATAGATCGCATAGCTGTTGCAAACAGTTCTCTATCTTCAGTTATTTCAACAGCAGAAATGGAAGTACCCAAAATTCGACAATTGTATAAATCTAACACGTTTGATGCTTTTGAATTTTCGTCTTTGAGATCTGGAATTAAAGAACTTGATTTAACTTTTGTCAAAGCGAGACCACATGTCAGGCTAGTTTGGCCACCGAAAGCTACCAAAAGACCGTCTGGGCGCTCAGCTTTTATAACGCGGGCAACAGAGTCTGGGGCGATTGGAAGGAGAAATATCTGTACGGATTTAGAAAGACAGGAAATACGTCACACGTTTGTCCAATTACAGTTAGCAAAATTTGAATTGATAATGAAGTCGCACAATGTGACGAAATTCCTATTGCTTACTGTCAATATTCTTATGCCTGATACGTCATAATGAACTGAAAATTTTTAAAAATTTACCATACTTCACTATCTTGATAAAACACTTCTTACTTGCTTATTACGTGATTTCTTTGCTCATGAAAAAGTCATACAATGGGTTAAATCAAGATATAACCCATTATTGTTATGGTTAGTTACTGAAATTGGTTGGAAAGACCATTATAAGATTAGGGATTATGTAAATGGAGAATCCTTGATTCAGTGAATGTTTAAGAATATGATGACAAGTCTCCCATGGTTATAAAAAATTCCCTACCATGTAAATGTGGGGTAAGTAATAGAATTTAACATAAAAATTGACTCTAGAAATAGAAGCAACCAAATAGTATTTTCGAATGGTACAGTCTTGAAACGCGTATTTATGGTCGATATTTTAATAGTTGAATTAAACAACCTTTCTTGTGGCTACACACACTGAGTATATTGGAAATTATCTACACAGAAGCTTGCAAATAAAGCTTCAGGATAAGGAAAACTAAAACTTTCGAAACAAGTCAATGTCAGCAACATTATGAGTAAATAAAAACTTATTCTATAAAGTTTTACCTTATCAGCCATTCCTTCAGTCGTCTGTACTGTTGCGATATTTGGATTAATCAGTAACGTTTGAACACCTTCTTCACGAAGAGCCTTGAGGGCCTGACTACCTGAGTAATCGAATTCGCCCGCTTGACCTATTGATAATCCGCCAGAACCTAGGAGCAAAACCTTCCTTGGTTTATTGTCTTTGCTACAAAGCACTCTTTCGAATTCTTCCTGCTTGTAGGAAATGTGTGTTGTTAGACGATCACTTAGACTCTGTCCATCAGATGATCGAATCTAAAAAAAACAATGAAACAACAGAAGATAAATCTGAAAGCGCAATAGCTTCACTGAAACCACTAAAAGTTTTGAAAAAATGAGTCTCATTAACTTACATAACTTAGAAAAACATCGAACAGGAACTCCAGGTCATTCGGTCCAGCCATATGTTCAGGATGAAACTGGACCGTCATCCAGGGATGAATGTGATGAGCAAGACCTTCATTAGACTGGTCATTTTTATTTTGAAATAATTCATACCAGCCATCTGGAACGTTTTTAGTGTCGACTGCATATCCATGATTCTTTGAGGACAAATAAAAAAATTCAACACCAATAAGTTCAGCTACAGAAAGAATAATAAGTATGCTAAAAGATAAAATCATACCACTGTATTTCAGTAGGCTAATCAAAACCAGACAATTGTGCAATCTAATTAAATCTAGTCGGCATACTCAAAAGCGTAGAGTATAATAATTTTGTATCTAACCGTCTAATGGCCGTAAATTAATTGTTAAAGAAGCCTGAACAGCTTAACTCCAGTATTTTTGATTGAGGTATTAAGAAGGTTCATATTCGACAGGTTGGCTCTACACGTTTACATTTAACCGATACCGTATCAATTTGTCAATAGGACTGGTTCTTTTTCAACAAGTGTTCAGAAATATTCTAGTTTATTACTTGCATTGTTGAAACACTGGGCGAAAATTACCTTGTCTCTAACTTGGTTAACTTGAATCAAAAGTCGTTTGTCAAATATATGTAAAACTTAGACCACATAACCTTTGACTTTTTGCACTTTTATTACGTTGCATAATCTTAATGTATCTATCGGTTTTTATTTACTAAGACATTAAGCTTATATATAACATTACCGCAGTGATGTGGGTAATTTGCAAAATTCGAAACATGATCAATATACCCTCTAAACGTTATCAACAACACTCATTTAAACTTGAGTGGAAATAGCTTGTAAGTGAAAATCAACCTTGATAAATTTGGCAGTTGGGGTTTTGACGGTTACTATAATTACTCTATTCAGTAAATGACTGATACACTACCAACTATAGGTAAAGATCTGTGTGTAAAGTATAAAATTTTCCAAATTTCTACGGAAAGAGCAGCATATAACAACTACATAGTCAGATAAATTCCTTAAATAGTTGAGTTATTGTTAGTTTTAAACGAAATATCATTGAACAGTGTGCAATAATGGCAAACATGATTTACTGAAGGAATTCGGCTTGCAGCTGAACGCCTAACACTAGAGAACTTTCTAAAATAGTTCAGTTAAACCGTACATATATTTACAAAAACCTTACCTGGCTGGTTATAAAACAACGTCCCGTAGGTAAGTGCACGCAAGGTTGATTGTGACCTCTATTTCCATACTTCATTTTATACGTTTTGAAACCAGAGGCTAGAGCAACCAACTGATGACCTAAGCAAATGCCAAATAAAGGTTTTCCTGTAGTCATCCATCCTTGAATTTGGTCAATAACAGCCTTGCATTGAATAGGGTCTCCAGGACCATTACTAATAAATAGTGCGTCATAATTTGAGTATGTTTTAGTCAAATCACTTGACCAGGGTAAAACCGTCACCTAAGATAAATTGTAGGAAAGAGATCGCAAAATGTTGTAAGATAGTGAAACTTGTAATGAAAGTTTTAAGTAAAGTCACTGATACCTAGGGACTACTATTCAAGCGATACAACCTTGTACAAAAATGCTAGTACTTGGTAAAAGTAATAATTGGAGTGAAAACAACCAAAAAAGTATTTTCCTGCAGGTCTATAACAGTGAAGTCATTAGTTGGATTGTATACATTCAAGTCATTGTGCAAGAAAAGAAACCTTACTAAAGAACTATTAATTACCCTTCGCTACTGAATTTCATAAAGTTGATATCAACATACAGCAGCGAGCTACATTATCTCCACAACTGAGAGAGATGAATTATTTATCGTCAAAACACCATAAATTATCAATGTCTTTGAATAAGACTGTGTAGATGTAGAATAGTAAGATAAGCTTTAGGAAAAGTGATGTCTTACCTTTGCACCCCTTTTAACGAAACAACGTATTTGATTAAACTTGATCCCACAATCTAGAGCAGCGATATGGACATCTCCATGAGGGTTGAAAACCTTAACATCACTTCTGCTTACTTCCGAAACCAGATTATTTTGAGAGGGGTCAAACCAATCGACTTGTTCTGGATGAAGTGAAAGGGGAATGACTTTTCCCAAAAGTGTACCTAAAAGCATCACGTGACTAGTAAAAATCAAAGTACCATGTTGTCTGAGCTTTAGGGTTAATGATCGCGTATCGATCCCACTTATGCAAGTAACACCGTTTTCAGATAGCCAATGGCTAAGTGACTTGACTGCGGAGAAGTGAGAAAACTCTTCGCACAACTCAGAAACAATTAGCGCTTTAGCAAAGATTTGGCTTGATTCAAACCATCGAGGCAAACCGAACTCATCAACGTCATTCATTGACGGAACACCATAATTACCTGAGACATAATAAAGTTAAGACGGCTTACCGATAGATGGATATGTAAGTAGCAGTAACTGGGAATGGTATGATGGGTCAGTCAATGATTCTACATAACCCACCATTCCCGTTTGAAAAACCACTTCTCCAGACTGAGGAGTCTTAGCACCGTACAAGACACCACTAAATACAGAACCATCTTCTAAAATGAGAGCACCAGGACAGTCACCGAGTAGCATACTTGATTCCCTACTACCAACCACGGGAAATTGACGGAATTTTGAAAAAACGGCAATAAAAGCATTAAAGACCTGTCAACTTTAAACACTTATCCCGAGGAAACTACTGTTTTGAGTCACGAATATCCTTGTAGCGTACACTAAAAAATGGATAAAGTAGTTAAAATGAAAATAGGTTATCTATGTTTTTCACTCTGATTTGCTGTTGACCTCCCAACATTTACAGTACACAATCCAGTTTTGGACAACACATTGGGATATTTGATCATTCCCGGAGATATAAACTTTGTTTTCATTCACTGGTAGACAGTCTGAGTAACGGTTGAGATAGACGGAATCAATGAAAGTCAGAACTACTGTGCGGTAGGTTTGGCTGTCTCAATCAACTGCTCTCCTCGTAGATGTTTCGGTAGCATACATTCGTAAACACCGGACTTGTGGAAAAGTTATTGGATTCATACGAAGTTCCTTAATAGGACGGCCAAAGATAGAGTTGAAATTTTTGCGACTTTCAGGTTCTATTCTTGCGTAGTTTATATTTACTCAATCTTAATATTACCACATTCCTGCTACCAAAACTCCTATCTCGCGTATTTTCTTTTCAAATTATCTCGTTTTCCGTCATTAAATCTCTTAGGTAATATTTTCAGTAATAGCCTTACTAACACTTCTTGCACGATGACAACTAGGAAAACTAGTAGAGGTATAAATCCGGGGTTAGTAGTCAGACAGAAATCCGATTCTGCAGAGAAGGAATTGCGATAAAACTCAAAACATCACTTGATGGTGTACCTCGCGGTATTGTTCACGATTCAGACCGCCATACCACAAACATTTCCTCTGGGTCTCAAAAAAAGAAACCAGGACGACTCTCCTCAGATATATACTCCTAGTAGGTCCAAGGGTCCAAATAAGGGTGGGAGAAAAGGGCTTCCCAAAATTCAGTCGACACAGCTCACCGTTCAGAAGGCGCGTAAGGATAACTCTATTATCTGTTAACTGCCAGTGAAAACCAACGACTCTGTATATAAATGCAACTTCTGCAGTGTATTGGTCCATTGTAATTGTTACACCTCAGTACTTAGACAGTACTATGCACTGATGCTGAGCTAATCCCGTCTGTTGTTCTGGTGTAATCTTCCTCAGTGCAGAATCATCGAGACAAAAATGTTAGCATTAGGAAAACCACAGACTCCTAAGAAAAGGAACCTACAAATCCCCCCCAACGAAACCTTACTAGCCCAGCACCAAATACATGATGGAGGTAGCCAAAACGCGAAACGATACTCCGAGGAAACTGCCGGTTGTTGCTAACCTCTCAGTATCTGCTAATAGGACGAAGCGGGACAGCTTATGACGAATAGCTCCCTATGTCTGATAGCTGTGAACGTCAGAAAACAGAAGGCCTAAGTGAGGAGCTACGGCCCCGATGATCTCTCTAGTCACATTAGGTGTTGCGAGAGCCGACATAGATCTATGAGGCAACAGCAAGGTAGCCAAAATCAGCCCGCAGTAATGACGGTTGATCTCGATTAACAACCCACGGCACAAGACTCGATGATCATTGTCTCACCGGCCTATATAGGCGAAAACCAGTTCCCACAGAACTGGCCAACTCGGTTAGAACAACTTGTTGGAAAATCCGACAGCGGCCGTTGTTATAGAAGTGAACCGGCTGATGATAAAATCCACCAAATTTCTCTATAGCAACCTTACAGGACTGAGGTATAGGCTATTAGAAACCAGAAATATGTGCTCTCAGATGGATCTGAGGATTATTATCCCAACTGAAACATACCTATCCCCCGACATTGCAGAAGATGGAACTGACTTGCATGTATGACACTCTTCAGAAGCGGCGGAGTACACCATACAGGAGGCTGAGTGGCTGTGTATATTAATAGCCGTTTCAACACTGAAAGACTACATGGTACCCAACCAAGCGAAGCGACAGAATCTTGGTGGTGTTGCTTCAACACTCATGTCACAAAATACTTGATTGGACGGATTTACCGTGCCCCCTCAGGTAATAAGGCCCAGAAAGATAAACTGACTGAGGCAAAGTGCAACTGCCACAACAGAGGTTTGATCAAATACTCTTAGCTAGAGATTTCTACACTGAACATCTAAATTTCAGGAAACAGGATACAACACTCACCTTTTGGTTTCAAAGACGATTTGATGTAGCCATTCCCAATATATGGAGTAAGGTTGGAAAATTCTCAAACTTGGATTATTTGTTAACAAATGATCAGCTCTTGGTCGAGGATGTTCACGTACATACCTCAATTTTAAGTGCTGGCTATGTGGCTGTCATGTTCAACATGGTCAAAGACAAAACACTCGTGTGGGACGAAAACGTGCCTCAGTTTTGCTGCACAAGGGCAAACTACGCACGCGTGATAGCGCATCTTCTACATGCCCCATGTCCACGGGGATGGTGGAGGTTAACAATATATTACCACGGGAAATCAGTAGGAGACGTCATTCTAAATGCTGGCAAAAGTTGGAGGTCCCTTTGAAGGATTCTGGTTGTAGTTCTTACTTGATTTCGAGAAACATGTTCAAAGTGATGTGTGACATGTGAAGCTAACAGCAAAAATACAGGCAAACCCAAAATATCTGTTTAGGTTCGTGACTAAAAGAGCACCTACGAACTTGAGTGTTTGTGCCCTCGGACGTTCGAATGGCGAATATCTTACCAGCCTGAAGATGACTGAGATCTTCAACACCAACTTCATCGATCAGTTAAACAAACTAGGTGCACGCTCAGAGTACTACTCAGACCCAGTACTAGCTGGTGGCCTGAGTAATGTTCGACTTACGAAGAAAACTAAAATCACTCAGCTCAGGACAGCCACAAGGATGTAACATTATTCACACTGTAGGGATTCATTGGAGTCACACTAACACCCAGCTGATTGGAGACCAGCTACTCTCTCCAATCTTCAGAGGAGGATATAGGAGTGGCCAGCATGTTACAAACCAGACATATTAATACCAAAACTATCAAAATTAATTGAAGGGCTGGTGAATGAGCAAATAAAGGATTACATGGGCAAGAGCAAAATCCGCCATGAAGCTCAACAGGAGTTGCGAAAAGGCAGGTTGTATGCATCCAGTATTCTAATAGCATGGCAAAGTCGAACTGCTGGGGAGGTTACATCACCAGAACTCACCTGTAAAAGGTCCTAGTATTGGAATTTTTGTGTTTTCGCGCTTAAGTTGCTTTGTTGACCTCGAGGTGACATTTCCCACAAGGAAAATCTTTGGCCATCACTGGTTGATGGATTATTTTAGTACGTTATCTTGTGACTCTATCAAGGACTTTTCTATCTTTTATAACTAAGCTGAATTTGTGTGTTTGCCGACCTCGTATTTCTGGGTGCTTGCAAAAAACACTTTTTACGCCATATGACAACTACTTGATATAGTTAGCCAGGCTTGGGACAAACGGATTAGAATAGCATATCGTGTCACTGCATCATTTGCCTTCGCTCCGTTTACCGAGTAAGGTGAACGCACACCAGTTTCAATCATTTCGATTGACGAGCATATCATAGACATCCTCCTGGGATCGAAACATAATGGTGCACACTATGTTTCTTGGCTTTGCGAACGCATCCGTCACAGTACCCCATGCACTGCTGATTGCGAAGGTTGCGGAAACGGGCTTCATTGTTCCTTTCCTATAGTTGCTTAGAGACTACCCTGAGAACAGAAAGTTTCGTACCCAGGCAAGTACAGTGCACGTGCGTTGACGAGTCGCAACATCTGGAGTTTCACAGAGGACCATCTAAGATCCACTCCTCTTCCTCATATTCATTATGTCTTTTAGACAAAACTTGGTGGCACTGATCTACTCAGACGATGCAAAGATCTACAAGTCACTAAGAATCGAAGATGATTCAACTGGGCTCCAAAAGTACCTTACGTCCATTCAGGGATGAATTGTGAAATCGATTTAAAACTAAACCAGTCGAAATGTGACGTTATTTACACTTTGCGCCCCATGAGGCAAACGGTTTACACCTTCAATGGAAGTCCGTTCCCTAATGTTTCCTCAGAGTGCGATCCCAGTTTAATAACCACAGGAAGTCTAGACACCAGTTCGAATTACATAGGGGACGCAGGCAAGGCGAATACGTCCCTTCACTTTATACGGAGACAACTTGGTGCTATCACCCCAGAATTATTCTTAACGTTATTTAAAACATATGCGCGCCCACACCTAGCGGTTAACAACGCACTCCCTCTCCATAAAAGAGACATTAATCTCTTGGACCAAGTGCAGAGATGAGCAACGAAAAGCGTGAGAGGGCTGAAGAACAAACCATACGAAGTTGACTCCGGCTTTTTTGATTATTCCCCCTGAGTTACAAGAGAATCAGAGGTTATCCGATTGTGGCGTACGACATATTAGGCAAGCCAAACCATCCGAACGTGAGCATCTTACAGATGCATCACCACCACACACCTCGAGGCAATCCTCGAAATGTTGTGCATCAAAGAGCTAATACTCAGGTTCGTGCACTCTTTTTCTCATTAAGAGTCGTTGCAACTTGGAATGATCTCCCAGCCGAGGTGACCACAGCCCACTCATTGGACGGCTTTAAGGAGAGACTTTATAAACCCGTACTCACACAAGGGTTGTCACTACCTCGTGGACCAACCGTACCTGATGCATGCCGTGAGACTTTCCAGTTGTTATTATTGCCATCTCAGATCAAAAACTTGATCTATCTTGCCTATTATCTCTGTTTCCTCTCTCTTGCTTACACCTCGGTCCTCTCTCACAATCTTCAATACCAATTAATAAACTAAATTATCTATATATTACTTAGTTCTGAAATACTCTTGTTGGCATTATAATAGTCTCCTTCTTCACACCGCAACTAACTGATTTTCGGTCTGGTAATGTGATAGCTGCCGGTGTCTGGAAACTCCACTTCCCTGAAACAAACGTATTCATTCAAATCACGGGACATGCAAACGACCAAGTGCCAACTGACTAGAATTAGACAGTCAAGTGGCTAAACCCACACACGTTGGATACTATCAGATACTTGGAACTGTGCCGAAGGAACAAGAATCGAGAGCCAATAAATCAAATAGTTTATACTAGCGCGCGAAAAAGATAGTGGATTAGATATTGGATTCACCAAAATTCATTGTAGGTCATAAAAATAAAAGCAACTACAAAGTGTTTGGAATTTCAATTATTACGTCATCAAACCCTAATTAATAATAATTCCATTACTAACCAGCTCAATTGAGGTAAGGAAAGTATTTGTTTTTACCCATCAAAGATACTGATAACAGAAAATTCAGCTGCTGTGCGCAATGCTTGGTTCTGGCGTCGATCAGATGGTTTGACTATTATGCCTTTGTTAAGTCAGGTATAATGTCTTACGAAGGAATATTATATTTCAGGAGCCTTTTGTAAATCATGGTCGCCTAGAAGATTTATATGACATACAACAAAAAATTGGAGAGTAAGTTCAGTTCTTTCTGTTCATAATAAATTGTCAGTGGGCACTTCGCAGTCGTCAATCTTTGTGTATGCAAAAGTTCGAATAAAAAATATGCAGCCAAATTCATAATGCGGCAACGGATTAACACGGGACTTCATGGATCGAGCGTTTCTGATATTGATCGTGAGGCTTTCATTCTAGCAAATTTACAACATGAAAATATTGTTAACTTGCATGAAGTTTTCTATCAAGAAGATTCTGTTGTGCTCATTTTGGATCTGTGAGTAGTTTCCTATTAAGTGTGTTTTCATGGGCTGCATAGTAATTAACATTTTAAGTTGTCGTTGTATAGATTACTCCATACGTTTACGTGCACAATTGGTAGAGATCATATTGTACGTAAAAACCCTTGGAATTCGGCATTAATGTTAAAGATTATCTTTTCCGACGGCTCAGGTTTTTTCCGTTGATGCCCATGTAGTAGGCACTATCCAACTTATTTGCAAAATAAGCTTCGTATGACAACATAGCTGCTATGGTTTGTTATGGAAAATCTTCATAGTTGAGATATATTGCTCGAGCTGTGTGCTTTTTCATCTAGTGAAACATCGAATAAACTTTCCAATGCTTGCTACACCTTTCTGGTTTTCTATGCTTCTCCCATAACTTTTATGCATATATGTAGATTAAAAACTAATTAGTCACTTGCCCATCTATTTATCATCACTGCCTAAATTATGTGCTCAGTCAAAATTCACCATAAACATTATGACTTTTTACACAAACTAGACTGACATATTTTAGGAAGTATTGTAAATTAACCATGTTTATTCGCCCACAAACATCCTGACCATACGTTGTGTACCTGAACTGATGTACTTACGTACGATGTTCCACGGTGTATTTGTCTATACGTTGTGTACAAAGATTATTAAGACTTGTATTCCTCATATGCCTTAGCACCTGCCTTAATTACTAGGTTTTTCCAGATCTTCATCAGCGAGCAGTGGTCGTTCCTAAGGTTGTCAAATTCATGCCACACCTTCCTTTTTATGGGCTTGAGGTTAAACGATGCCCAGAGAAACTCTTTCCTAGCACTGACAAGAAGTTTAGGCAAATGAAAGTCGTCCTAACTTGTCTCTTAGTGTTTAAACCATGATTATGCATGATTTCAGAATTCTAGCTGTAGTCATGCCAATCATTTTCGTACACCATATACGTATTCGTCTGTTTCCTTTTGAATTACTAGTATATGTGCACCTTTTCAGTAGTTAAACGCAAATCTGGTGGTTGAATTGTAATAGTTTGTCAACAGAATTCTTAACTAACCAACTAAAATGTTTTCCTTCAAGACTTTACAAATAGTTCTTTGCGTCAGCAATTATGATTATCTCCAGGCCCTAGGTTAAGTCATCATCATAGAATCCAATATTTGGCTTACAATATTTCCAGTCCTATTAGATTTCGTTATCAGAGTCAATATTTTGACACAATTGATAGCACAGTTTTGCACAAATCAGTTGAATATATTACATAAACTCTTTTTGAAGAGTGATGAAACAAAGATTTATTTCCAGAATCACTTACTTTTGTTAGTTCTTTGACCTAACGTTATCTTATGTCTTTGAACGTCTCAAAGATTAGACATCTAGACCAGATGGCTTGTGATTCTTTGCTAGTTGAAGTAGTCTTTGCACATCTGTATAGTCGTGTAGACCAATTTTTGGTGATCATGGATCATATAACAGTCTAGTTAAGATTTATATTGCATAACCTTATTACTGACAACGTAAAATAAAGAACACAAACAATCTTTTGGTACTAGACCATTAAGTATATACAAGTATATAACTGTATCACTAAATATAAAATGTGCTACATTTTTATTCTGATTAGAGTAACTGGTGGTGAGCTGTTTGCACGCGTAGCCGATTGTGAGCGTTTATCAGAGGAGGAAGCTTCAAATTTTGTCCAGCAGATTCTTCTAGGTGTTCAACATATGCATGGTTTGGGGATTGTTCACTTGGATTTAAAGGTAACTTAACACTCCCTCATTATCCCTCATGCCTTTTATTTTTGTATCTCTATATACTAAAGAGTAAAATCTTGATTTTTCTAGCCTGAGAATATCATGATCGAAGACTTGGCATCCAGAAAGATAAAAATCATTGATTTTGGCCTAGCTAGGGTGCTAAATCCAAATGAGAGCTTTCAGGATATGGCAGGAACGCCGGAATTTTGTGGTAAGCGGGTCTCTGTTTTTAGTGGCATGGGTAAATACTGGTTCAGTTTGTGAACAAAGTAAAACACACATTCTTTAACGCATGCTTTTTTCATATACATAATTTATAACTACAGATTCAAAGCTTCAAATAAGACTTACAGTTCTTGATTAGCATTTTATAAATGATGAGATAATTTGATTATGCAAATAAACTTCTCAAAAAGTACAGTAAAATCAACAAAAAAGGAAAATACTATAATAAACTATAAAATGGATGAACATAAAGCAAACATGTGGTGTACTAAAATGCAAAATATTTTATTCGTAAATTTCAGTCTAAAACTTGAAACCTTATATCACGGACTGAAAATCAATAACTGCACGAATTAGTTAGACAGAAATTACTGTTTACCGTTATAGCCCATTTCATTTAGACACAATAGTTTCCGACATTTATTTCTATGTACAGATAAACTAAGTAATATTCCTATAGAATGATATAGTTTATGTGTTCAGACTATTTCACAGTCTATGATGTATTTTAGAGTGCTATGTTTATCTTCAAAAAATAATAATTTCGTTACTTTGATTGCTTTTTTCCACGTTGATAGATTGTATCTAAAGTCAAAAATCTTCGAATCTCTGTCGTTTTCACCAATACAGTTATGTAATTTATACCGTGTCCTATTCTTATAAGTGCTACATGACTATGTTAACTGTGGACATTCTCAGCAAACAAATTCACGAAAATTTCCCTCGTAAATACATTCTATTTACATCTATTTTCTAACAATTGATAATTTTATTCATGGGAGTTAATGGCTTTAATTTTAATGCTTCACTTCTAATTTAGAACTTAAAACATGATTCATATACTGAAAATCAAAAAGTCAACAGATGTACATCCACTGTTTGCAGACTATGATGAATGAGACAGTTGGGAAATGATAATCCTACTGATATTTTGAATTAATGGACAGAAGCAGTTGCATACGCTAACTCATTCTGAAGTGTTCTATTCGCGGGATTTCAAATTATTAATGAACTTAGTCTTTACACTTCTTACCGATCTCAAGTAGCATTATTTTCGAGAAATTAAAGTATTATTTACTTAAATCATTTCCTATAGGTGTACTCATAAAAGAAAATCTGTACATGTATTTCAAACAAAACTTTGCCTACGTTTAAGCTACCGATAATTTGTTAAAATATTGTCTATAAAGTTTAGGTAGATTAAAAATGATATGACAGCGGTGATTGTGTTAAGAGTTGATACTGGCCAATTATATTTGTCTATTATTCCTTCCAATTACTCATTAGTGTTGGCGCTATTATTATTTTACCACGATTTTTGTTTATTTCCTTTCTTTCGAGGTGAAGACCAGTGTCAGGCAAGGTTGCTTACTCTCACCCTTTCTCTTTCTCCTGGTGATCGACTGAATTATGGAAACGTCAACTTCTGGAGGGAATCACGGTATCAACTGGACAGTTAGGACGCAGCTGGACGATCTGGACTTCGCAGATGACCTGGCTCTTCTATCGCACACTCAACAACAAATGCAAGAGAAGACGACCAGTGTAGCAGCAGCCTCTGCAGCAGTAGGTCTCAACATACATAAAGGAAAAAAGCAAAATTCTCCGATGCAACACAACATGCACCAACCGAATCACGCTTGATGGAGATACCTTGGAGGACGTTAACACCTTCACATATCTTGGCAGCATCATCGACAACCAAGGTGGATCCGATGGAGATGTGAGGGCACGGAATGGCAAAGCAAGGGCTGCATTTCTACAGTTGAAAAATATCTGAAACTCCAAACAACTTTCAACCAAAACCAAAATAAGGATTTTCAATACAAATGTGAAGACAGTTTTACTGTATGGAGCGGAAACTTGGAGAACTACCAAAGCCATCATCCAGAGGATACAAGTGTTTATTAAGAGCTGTCTACACAAAATACTTCGTATTCGTTGGCCAGACACGATCAGCATCAACGAACTGTGGGAGAGAACAAGTCAGATTCCAGTGGAGGAGGAAATCAGGAAAAAGCGGTGGAAGTGGATAGGACACACATTGCGGAAAGCACCTAACTGCGTCACGAGACAAGCCATCACATGGAACCCTCAAGGCAAAAGGAAAAGAGGAAGGCCAAAGAATACATTACGCCGATAAATAGAGAAAGATATGAGAGGAATGAACAAACATTGGACAGAACTGTAGAAAGAAGCCCAGGACAGAGTTGGTTGGAGAAAACTGGTGGGCGGCCTATGCTCCATTGAGGGTAACAGGCGTAAGTAAGTATTCATATAAACGACAATTAATTTGCTATAATTGTATAAAAGCATTGGTAAACTGTGTACTGTTAGGATATTCATAACTATTTTCTAAAAATTATTTCGTAAATCTTATTCTACCATTGGACGCAAGACCGCATGTTTTCAAATATTTCCAGACTTTTCACGTATGTCACATGTCGTTTCCTATTGGTTAATATTCACGGTCGCCCTAACTGAAAAAATATGGATTGTCTGAATAGTCCTATTATTATTCTATGTATTCGGACTCCATAAACAACTTTCATCTAACGGTGTTGTGTTCTGATATACTGGAGATTTGGGGAAAAGTATTTGGGGTCGTAATGGAATATCTGAATTTGGTCAATCGGTAGAACTTCTAGTAGCCAAATCGCGGATTACAATGTTTGGCGACGCATTATGGTACGTACACAATCAAAAATAAACAAATTGAAAGAGAAAAACAGATCCTCATAGTCAGGTGTTCAATAATTATTACCGACTGAACTATACATTTTAAAATTCTAAGTTAGAATCAACAACTCATTAAACCATTCCTGCAAATATATTGAAATACCAGTATATGATTTTCTTTCATATAAATCTAGCTTGAAGTGATTAGATTAATAGGTTAAATAAATATATTGTGGATTTGTCAATTATAACCGAGGATACTAATTCATTGGATAGGAATTTCTTGCTGTCAGGGTTCCATCTTAGATAAGGAATGTGTACGTGCATTTATATTATTTAGACAAGAAAAGTTTTACATACCAAGTATATCATGCTTTTTTTGGTTGTTCTAATCTCAAGATATGGAATATTAGGTGTTAGGATATTCATTAAATATCCTGGAGAATTATTTTGTAAGTCTAATTCTGATGGTCGATTCTTATTGGTCGTCCTAACTATCAATGTCACATACTTCAATGTTGTTTCCTGTCCAACCTAACTGTATAAATATGCATTATCTGCAACGTTTTATGACCCCGATCCTTAGTCCGATATCATTATACTCTTCTGGATTTGGACCACGTGCTTTCTAGGTGCTTGTAGAATACACTTTTTACTTCATATCAAGTCTTCTCCTTCTATTTATTGGGGATTAGAGTAGCCTGTCGTGTCGCCGGATCATTGATTCTCGCTCTCGTTTACCGACTAAGGTGAACTCGTAATAGTTCAGTCATATCAACTGACATGGTGACATGCGTTCATAACATTAGGAATATTTATATTTCAGCAAATTAGTTTTGTTTATAGGATGTAATTTTACATTTCAATGTTCAGACAGAAAAACATCTACTTTCATCATGGAAAGTATTAAAAAAAATAAGCATAAAAATATGTCCGTTTTCCTAAGATTTTCTTAGAAATACAGTTAATTATCAATCTTTAAGATACCTATATCTGTATGTTAGAGATATGAGGAAAACAGTCATCATCACATACAGCATTTGATGTAAAGTTTAACAAAGAAAAAAAAACAGAAAAAAATCACTTATGATTTGAATTAAGCCATTTAAGTTCATACACTAACAGCCTACTTCTCATTAATTTTAATGAGAAAAGTTATAAAACAGTCAGTCAGCAGACAACTGAACTGTATGATCACTATCCTTACGAAAAAGAAATTGTCACAAATACAAATGAATGATTTGTTCACCAGTAATGTGAACAAATTATGTTTTATTCACTAAAAAAAACAGTATAAATATACAAATAATAATTGATGAACTGGTTACTTTTTTGATGATTGATTATTGTCTTCATCGCTAGATATTGGATCTCTATCCTTTGAAGAATCTGTTCGTATTGATGTGCATCCGGTCATGATAAATCTAATTAGCAGATTACAACACATGTATATAATCTAAAATGCAATGAAATACGAAGTTTGAAATTTTAGCCTTAAAAATTATGTCCAGTGGTTTAGAATTGCGAAATAATATATTACTATTTGAATAAACATTTATCAAAATATTTAGGTAAATGCAAGAAAATATATAAACGACACAAGTAGTGTTTAACGATCTGATTTTATTTTGATCATTGGTTAGGCATCGATGTCTTGTTGATTATTGATCAATATCTGTTGAGTTCCATCAATTCACTCTGACCGTGGTCAATAATTTCAGGGACTATAAATATTGCATCCCTGATTAGCGCCTACTAGAAGAATAGGTTAGTAAAATACCAATGATATATCTGAATATGATTTATTAGTCTTGGTGAACCACTTCACTAACATTGTTGCTACATCCTTTACTTCGGTTCTTTTCTAGAAACTAACCATATAATAAAATCTTTTAACGCGTTAAAGCCAGTTAATTTCATTCTGAACTGTAACAGATAAATTGTCTTGCATAATTCTACACGTAAAATTGTGACATATATTAATCTAAACTAATATGAGAATTTATTTGCACTAATTTCTTAAAGTATCTTTTTTCATCAATTATTACTTATTTTGACTGAACCATTGAATGTTGGCTAATGCCATTTTCACATAGCCTTTAACACCTCTTGTTCGAATCGCAGTTTAATCTTTAGTCCAAGTACTTCGGTATCACTTCTACTGTATTTTAATTTTAGGTGATTGGAAACATTCGGTAAGAAACATTGAACCTATGTTTCATTCTAAAAAAAGCATCTTATTATTAACGAGATGCCTTACCGTCTTACGGTCACTTTATTTCATAAACAAAAGTATAGACTAAAAACAACGGTACAACGCAGGATAACTAGGGAATTACAAAAGAACTTCTTCAGGGAAAAGTTTATTAAATAAAATTAGTTTTTCCCTCTTTTTATTCTAGCATATGGAGCCGCTAATAATATAAATTAATAAAATATTTTATTTTAGTTAAGTGTTTAGTTAAAACAGTTAGTAAAGTTTTGAAAATTATTCTCAGCATAAAACTTGAATGATCATTTTATGTTAATTGGTAGTAACTGGTTCACTCTCAACTCAAGTGAACTCTACTTACTTAGACCTTAACCAATTTATACTTGATGACTGAGATCATTGTGATATGGATAGTATTTTACTTCATCCAAAAATAAATCTGCTTCATCGATCAAATGATTACGTATAGAAATTAATAAGTTATATTTGTAAGTTTAACATATATATATATATATATATATATATATATATATATATATATATATATATATGAAAGAGTCGGAAAAGTATCAACATCACAAAACGTGACATAATTGGCTGTTGCTAATAGTAACTTGGATTGTATAAGACGAATGGAAATACTAGACTGCTTTATATATCCTGGAAAACTACTAGAAATATTACATATGTCTCGCTTGTATGGTCATTAAAATATGCGCACTTGTTGTAATAGAAAGAATCTAAAATTAAGTATTTTTTCTCATTATCTAATTTCTCGTCACTTACGATCGATGAATTATACTTGATAATCTTATAAGTAACATTTACTGACCAAGATAATAAAATTCATTTCAATATCTTTACTTTTATCGGTGAATAAGTTATGATACAAACACAAGTGTAGCTTTGTTAATTGTTTCTGACATCTTTCAAATGCATCCGGGGCTTGAAAACTTTGAGTGACATGGCTTAGTAGCGATCGTAATGACAAAGAGCCATCCTTTAGATATTGAGTTTAGAGAATATCTTAAACTCTTGTGTTCCATGGATTCACTTTTTCTTCTCAAAACTTTTTACTTGTGCCTAATCTTTTCTACTACCATTAATACTCTACGGAAATTAATATTAGCAGCCAATTGGCAGATGATTTCACATCATCATTAAATATAATTTATCCATCACTTAGCACCATCAGTGGATCCAGAAATTTTAGATAGAGACAAAAGTCGATAGGCGTTCGTGTGAGAGAGTAAGAGTCGTGGTTTCAATTTTGGATTGTTAGATAGTAGATTCCTACTTCTGAGTCCCATACTAGAACAAAACGATCGTCCAGCGATTCCAAGAACTCAATGGTTTTTTTTAACCTAGATTGGTTCATAAGTTCAAATAAATTAAAAGCTCTTAACTTAAAACAGGTAGACAATACTAAAGACATAATACTTAAAAAAAATCGACCTTTCTAAAATTCATACCTCATTGCCAGCAACATTTGACGCCCAAAACGATATTTTAATTTTTAACTTGTTATTCACTTAAACTAAATCCAAAACGATTCTGTAATACGATATCAAAAATCCTTTCTCTTCATGGTCAGTTATTTTGCAGTTATATCTCTTTAAATGTCCTTAGTGCACACTACTAGCTTACTTCTAGATGTCATCCCAAGGGTTCTAGTCGGAAGATATGACTAGTGGAATTCAGTCATATCGCGTTTGAATTAAAGTTCGCCGATGTCAATTGATGATTATCATGTAATAACCTCTGTAGGACAACCTAGTCGGCTGAGGGCTTTTTACTTTCCTTGAGGTTTATAGGTTTAGGATTCGATCTATAGTACAGTTTAAGATTAGTAAGATTAGTAAGCAAAGAAAGACTTTCGCCACAGTCTTTTATACCAAAGAGATTAGTTTTTCCGTAATCACTAATAACTGGTGAAAAATGAATGCGAAAAAATACATTTAATCTTCAATTTTCTCAGTCAATTGAAAAAAAGATCAGTCTTTCAGATATTTGGCGAAAAGCAATGAATGTACAAGTTTATGAAGTCATATTTCCAGATTATTACTTCACAGGTGAAATAAATTTTAATTTGAAAGTAATTGGTAAGTAAAGCTGAAGGATTTTACTTTGATTTTGCAAACCACAAATGTCAGAATATATTTATTTACAAGTTAATCCGTTCTCCATCTGTAAAAGAGATTTGAAAACTTATGAAAAGACAATAAACAAAACAAACTAGCTAACATCTAAATTCTCGTCGCTATGGTTACATGTAAATGTAGAAAAATAATATGACACGATATAAAATGTTAGACCTTTATCAAACTCTTTGGTGTAAAAATGCATTTAAAGACGTTGTAAATAATGAGGAAAATACTTAGGTAATTAACTGAATTAGGTCTATTATAAAGCATATTCATTTCAAAAAGAAAATTAAGTTGATGACCTTAATGTAAGTTAAATGATATTGCATAACTTGAAGAAAACACCTTGTACTTTTTCAAATGAACAAAAAACGGATCAAAATATCTTATTGTGCTCACCATAAAACGATCTTTTAAGATTGTTTTTTTATTACGAAACTGTAACAACTTGTAAATAATAAAGGGTAAAGCAGTAATTGACAGTCGTCTAAACTCTCAGTACTTCATACATTCAAAATGAGAACTTTCAGTTTTAGTGAATGCTTTTTTAACTCCAGAGTGACTATGTTACAATTCACCGGCATATGGCGTTTTACTTTAAGTGATTTCAAACATAAATTCATTTTTATTGGTTGTTTGAATCTTTCTGGAGTGAATATCAACTCTGAGATGTAAATACATCCGGCTGATGAGTCCCGAACTGGACAAAACATGCTTCCTGAATTCCACAGCTGACAACTATCCACCTCCGTGAATCTTAAACACATTTTAAATAAAATCTAATGCGACCACTAAACGCATGCTCTGACAAATACATTATACAATATAGAATTTGTTTAACCTTAGTTTGTATGAAAATTAGGATGACATATAATTGACGAGTCACAGATTAGGATGAAATGTGTGTCATTATTCTTGGTATCCAGTCGTTTTTACTCATGAAACAAATTAAAGAATTTCATATATCCTGCAAAAAGTATTTAACTACTTGTTTGTACAGAATAATTTTATCTAAAATTTATAAGTATAGTAAAAACACGCGATATATATTGTTCTGCTAGTTTTGTCTATGACTAAAACTTTTTAAAAATATAAGTTTATGTTTAAATCATAAAGATAATTTAGGTTGTATTAAGAAACAGTTACAAAATCGAACAAAGATGATATTATCCTAAAATAAAATTACAGATATTTGTACAATTTCAGTTCACATTCTACAATAATATTTTATAAAATTAATAAGTCACTTAATAGTTATCTTGGGTTAGTATTCACAAAAGTATTATAATGCTGCAGTGAATGACTACTCGCCTTAACAATAATTAAATAAAATTCTAAACTTATCGATATCGAATGACTTTACTGATATAAACAAAGTACATTTAGTTATAATATATTTCAGAACTAAATTCGATCTTTTCTACAGGATCTCTGGATTATAGTTGTTTTAAAATCTAATAAAACGTTGTCTCTTGCAATCATACATTGAACACTTAAGGATGTGATCATTCGTGTGACTGTTAACATTTTATTAAGGAAAGAAAAATCAAGCAATAGGATTAATTTGAGAAGTTTTAGAATACAAACTATCAAGAGAAAATACGACATTCATGAGACTGATCATTGCAAAGTTAGACTAATTTACATCTATTTACCTATAAATGATGAAATAAAATCATTTCAGCAAAAACTAGGCTACTGAAATCAAATAACTGAAATATTTTATTTAATAGTTTGATTTGAGCTCTTTAAGGGAGATAATTAAGATACTTGAAATAAAATCACAAAAAAGTGTTTGCTTTAATTATTATTTGCTTGTAAGCAAAGACTCCAGGACAATACTTTTATCTAAATTTATTTGGGATTAAGCTATTTGTGACATCCTTAACAGGAGATATTCGTATAAGAGTTAGCACTTTAGTTTTCTTGTAAATCATTCGACTACATGTATTTAGAATCTATTTACGTGTTTCTCTGTCAAATATAACACCATACAGATATTTTCTGTATAAATTACAGAATTTCTGGGTTTTAAATAGCATCCACGAGCTGTATTTTTTGGGACTTTTAAAACAACATTCCTAAAAATCCCGTAACCGTTGGCACCTACGGAGCTGTAAATTTACGTTTCCTCATACTATATGTTGTTAAGATATTCAAAATCAATAAAACTAGTCTATCGTAACTCTAAAGAAATTCAGTAGCTCAGTAATATATTACTCAAGCCATAAATTCCCTGACATCTATAAATAATCAGTCATATAAAATAAATCTTTACAGTCTAATAATCGTTTACTAAATAACATCGCCAATTACATTTCATACTATCACAGTTATTTGTAGTGAACAGACGACTGTCACATGCACTAAGTTGTTTCTCGTGAACCAAACAACATACATACATCATTTGATTGCTCAGTAAAGTGGTTTGAGTGCTTGACAAACTGAGTCAGTCAGTCAGTTTCAACACAGAACTTCGTACGTAAGTACAAAACTTCAGGTTGCCATACCGCATTAGCGCAGAGACGTAACTGCCAATTCAATCCCAGAGTGGTATAAATGGTAGAAGTATAAGCAGTTATGGAGAAGATAAGGGTTAGAAGGCATTATTCAAGAAGTATCATTCAGGGATATAACTTTAGAAAGAGAAAGATAGGGGTGATGAGGAATTCAGAAGACTAGAATTTCATAGAACACAACGAGCGAATGAACCTGAGCCATCGCAAACGGTTTTGAGCCATGTCATTCAAGGTCTCTATCCATCGATTAATGTCGTCTCGCGGACCTCAACCAGATAGTCTGCATCTATCAACATCACTTAGTCCACCTCTCCGTGACTTCATGCATTTGTGTCATGTTTTGCTTTGGCCGCCCCTAACTTTCTTCCAACCTACTCCTACACCACAAAACACCGCTCATCGAGGCAGTCGGTGGTTTGGCATTCGTACCATACGTCCCAACCACCTCAACTGATGAAGTTTCAATACTTCATTTATTGATTTACCATCCATAGCTAGTACTCGTTGCTAATGACAGCAGTGCTTATTTGGCTGTCACAGGATACAGAAGCAATGCTTTGAAGACATCTATAATCGAATACTCATCGTACGAGAATCCTCAACTCTTACCGGCAATGTTTCGCATCCATAAAGTAGGACGTAGCGAACTGATGCTCAGTAGACTCATCTTTTGGTCAGCAAACGGATATCTCGCCTACGTTATAAGTGATGCAAGTTTGCAAAAGCTAATCAAGCCGTGCTGAGATTCCGTCAGTCACTAGGCCATCAGCACTGATGAGACTCCCTAGTTAAGTTAAGCAGTCAACACGCCCAACTACTCCTTCCCTTATCATTAGTTCAGGTGTCGACGTAAGTCAATCTTGAAGCAAAATTTTGCATTTTGAAGGGGAAAACCTCATTCCGAACATGCTTGCCTTGTTGATTAGGGTAGACAGAAGACTCTGATTTTGTCAGCCTCTTCAGCAAGTATAATTATGTCATCGGCATATTCTAAGTCAAAAAGCGTGTCTCCTGGTAGAAGGTCCACATTCTGAAAATTTAAACGACGATAATGTTTACTCTAAAAGCATGTTTATGTAAAACTAAAACAAGAATGGAAAGAGTAGACAGCCCTAACGGACACCACCTGAAGTAACTAATTCCTACGACAGTTCACCATAGGCTCTTACTTGACCAGTAGTGTTCGAATAGAGAGCTTGCATAAGGTTAAAGCATTTCTCTGGTACACCTTTTAATGACAGACACTGCTAAAGAGCCTCACCATCAACATAGTCGAAAGCGGCTTTAAGGTCGAGAATTACTACTGTTGCAGGGCATTTGAACGAGTGTCTTTGTTCGAGAATATATGGTCTATACATCCACGTCCAGGTCGAAAACCAGGCTGGTCTTCTCCAGTCTTCTCTTATCGAGCTTTCGTTAAGCGTCGGAGTATTATTGAGGCCGATATTTTCGATACTATATTAGTTAGTCTGACTTCTCTGTGATTGTCACAATAGGACTTTCGACCCTTCGTGTATATTAGGACAATAATTGATTGAGATCAGTGAGATGGGATTATGCCCAGTTCCCAGGTTCTACCTAAGATCTCAGTCAGTCCAACTGCCAGAACTTGACCACCGCCCTTGAAGATCTCAGGGGTTAGCCACCCAGGACCCGCTGCTCTCCCTTGCTCCAAATTTTCCATCGCTTTCCCAACTTCATAAAGACTCAGAGGACTTACATTGATTTGCCATCCAGGTTGACTGGAGATCGTTGGCAACCGAACCGTTGTTGAAGGCCAGCTGAATCGATCCTTGAAGTTTTCTGCCCATCGATCCAATCTCTTGGGTTGAAAAGAAACGATATGACCGTCCTTTTCTTCGTCTGAATTACAGTCAGTGCGAGCGTAGGCACATTCGATGAAGAGGCAACGTTTAGTCCTTACTGTCCTATTTAGTCGGTCAGCGCACAAGCGATTATCTAGGATAACTAGTTCTGACCTAAAACGTAATGATATTCCTACAGCATAGAGGCAAATGGAAGCAGCATCATGACTTCCAGGAGTCACGAAGTGTAAATCGAGCTGCTTCTTTATTTTGACACAGTGAGGTCAAATGAATGACGGTACTCGGATTCTGGCGCGTTTAGAAGACGTAGCGTACATCGATAGTGTGAGATTCTAAAGTCCTAACTAAAGAAGCCTGTTGTCCTATTTAACGCAATGTCCGTTCATTAGAAGCTCCCACTTGTCGTTCAGAATGGGGTTTCAAGAGACCATGAATAACGTTTCGTGTACTCGCAACGTCCGCATCAGCGGCGCGAGGTGACAAAGTAATGAAAGACGGGTTGGTCAATGAGATAAGAGAGTAGGAATGAGTGTAGGAATGATTTCATTGTGACCGATCTGGTTGGTTGCACTGTCACAGGCATGAGATGAGATGTCACTTCCTGGCTTTCGACACCGTAGAAAGGTGTGTCATAAGGAACCTAAAAAGGAAGGTTGATTAGCGTTGGTCTTAGAGACCCAGGAGCGTAACCGCAGAGCCAAAGGGACAATTGCTTGAGGCCGGTCACGCAAGCCTGGAGACGGAAATCCATGAGGTAAGGTAAGGTGTGACTTTTAAGGTCGACCTTTTCTTACCCCTTCCCTCCGTTGTGAGAAGGCAACATCGCTGCAGATGCTGGTTGTCCGAGGGAAACACCTTACTGCTATCATAACCCTCTAGAGTCAGTAGTAGAACTTCGCCTTCAGACCTTGAGTAGCTGCTTCTAATCTCATCGTTCTCCAATCGACCTTCCTGGCATGGTAAAACCTACAGGAACATCTGTTCTAGCCAATATAGCTCGGTTGGGTCATCACAATAGACAGGCTCGACCACCACATTAAGGTGGCAGTTACGATCTGGTGATAAAACTAGAGGAACCTTTTGAAGTTGGTGACTGCATTCTTAACAAATACCTCAGTTTTAGTTCACAAAATTAAATAAATTTTTTAAGTATAAAACTATGATGCATGTTTTGAGACACATTTCGTCACGATTTACGGTATTTATTTGCGGATAATTCTTGACCTTAGACTTATTGTAAGTACGTTTTTTCAAAGCCATCATTATTTGCATCCAAAACACCATCATGAAATATAATCAGTGGAAACCGAGACGCTTAAACAAATTTATTTAAACGTTCAACTCATGAAATGATAATCTGAACTGTAGAGAATTAAATATAAATAGTGTGGTTCATCAATATCGTACACAATTTTTATTTGTAAAAACCTATGATTTAAGGATTGCAACGTGAGTTAAACTAATGTTCATTCAAAAGCTATTCGTCCACTAATTTAAAAGTAGTTATTTAAAAATTGCTCTACTATCATCTCAAAAGGTTTCATCAGTTAGTCTCTTCAGGATATGAATTCTCCCTAAAACTTGTACAGAATAAACAATTACGTTCGCAAATTCAGTAAATTAGTATTACATGTTACTTTATTCTCCTTATTAATTTCTAGAATAATAACTCAGTGTATAAGGTTTCTTTTCCAATTCCGACATTTTTAAGTGCCTAATCCATAAGGTTAGGAATTCTAAATTATACACACTTAAAAAGAAAGAATACAATTCAATAAGTTGGGTGAATTAACTGCAATCTTCTACTTGTTGTTATGGACTACGAATCGCGTGGCTTGAGAATCCGAATACTCAAGGTCGAAGTCTTTCTCCAGGCAACAGATCCACACCAGCATCAGCTGCCATCATTAGAGCTGTTTCCAGATTACTATTATTCTTACTATTACTAGTACATCTGAACTCTTATAATCAACTTGTATTTTTACCTATTATGTGTTACTGTGCCATTTATTTCACTATGATCATCGACCCAAAAAAGGTCCTTATTGATATGATACTCCGATACAATGCTGATGTGTATTATTGTGGACTTTGAAGACAATCTAATTGAAAACACTATTGACTGTTCATATTTGTTATCTTAGTTACCTATTAATCTAAAAACGCGTGGATGTTACTATGATTTTAGACACAACTACCATATCCTTTGTGTTGGCAAACTGGGACTGTTGACAGTAAACCCTCAACAATGCGTTTTTACGGTTAATGGAAGGATTAAAATACATAATTTGTACAAAATATCTTGATTTAATAACTCAAATCAATGTTTTGAATACAAATCCTTCAGGTTAAGTTATTACTAAATATTATTTTGTTGGCAATAACTATTCGCTAATCACTATGTCAAAAATATACATCGTAAGCAGGCAACAGATTAGCGAACTGGCTTCAAACGGTACGTATTTAGTCGAGAATAAACTTGAATAAAAACCAGTTGATGAAACTTACTTTCGGGACATTTTTTAGCTTTCTTCCTTCTGGTCCATGTGACAAAACGTTTTGACGTTTAAGGAATGCTTCTAAACTGAATTGTCCACTGTTTTTGTTGTATAAAGAATTTATTTAATAACTTACTGTGACCCAAAGTGAATTCGATAAAGATACAGATACTTTTCAAATTGATATATGCAGTCAACTTGGTTCTGAGTTTGTATAGACCCTGGCCTATAAAAATAAAATCAGCCGTAATACGTCTAACCTTCGAAATCTAATATACTGTATTGCTTCACCGGCGGAGATGCGGTTGTTAAATACTAGATAACAGGCAATTATTACCCCAGTTCTACCTGCACAGTTATAAAGAAATGCACATAGACAAACCTAGCCCGGCATGACAGTGAACTGCGACTTTTCCTCTAAATATTGCAAACTGGATTACCATAACTGTATCCAAGATAAACTGAAGTGATGCAACACTGTAGTCACACCTTTATAATATGTTCATTAAAAAGACTAATACAAACCAGCTAAAATTGTAATAGGAAACTACATCGTTTGTTACTCAAATTAAAATACACTCACTATTGTTTTTCATAAAGCTTGATGGATCATAAGAAAATCCAGAACTAAGTACACCATTGCCGCAACTACTATGTTCCCTTGCAGTTTGCATGTTAAATATAGAACATATATTCATCCTTTCAAAAAGCTATTTTATCACTGGCTATACCTCTTAAACTGCTCAATGATGTTAAATTCTTTGATAATTTTCTCACTAGGTCTAGAGGTTGCCAGTATATTTTTTGTAATCCTGAATCTTATATATATTATTTGAAATACCAGGTAGAGTACAAGCCATTTAAGTGCATGTCTGATGCCCCAAAAAACAATGATGGGTTGCAGTATTTACATTTTGATCCACCACAAAATAATAAACAGAGATTTTTCTCTGGAATTCCTTGTCTCATCATATCAGAAACAGTAGAATTTAGGCTTTTCACATCATTATCTTTGAATATTGATAAACAGTCTAAACGTACTCGTTTGTTCCAGTTTCTTTCCGTACTTTTCATCCCAATCCAAAATCTCAAGATTGTACATCACCTAAGTAGTTTGAAAAGAAACCTTTTTGTGACCTTATAATACTAATTAACTGCCATGTTTAAACAAAAATGAAATTTCTAGAGTGCTAAAAAGGCCAGTGTGAGTTTCTGGATGTCTAACACCAAGACGTAAGACAATTTTTATCTAGGTTTTTCCTCCTCATTATGGCTGGAACGATTGTGCTTCCAAAAGTTTGAAAATTAATAGGCTATGTTTCCGAAGGTAAATTGACCTCATTAGGTTTTGTGGATATAACTTATGACAAAGTGCCTGACCAATGATCCTCAATTGCTGACTATCGGATAGGCCATGCTATGCACCCTTTATGACAGGCTGCTATCTTCGATCACGAGCTTCTGTAACTGCCTACAAAGTGAGAGGTAAAACTCCTATCTGCTTGATTCCAGACTTCTAGTTTTACTGACTCTCTTATTATGAAAGTGGGGCGGGAAAAACCTTCATCAAACCCTGAAAGTCTGTATGAACTTTACTTCTATATTTCCTTTGAAACACAGAAACGAGATTCAGGATCATTAACGAACAGTCAAAGTCACGGTTAACCAAGACTTCATTGGAAGCCTTCTTTCGATTCAGTCAAATCCTCGAAATTTTCAAACTTGGTATAATTTCATTTTTCAAGGTGTAAAAAATCAAAAAATGAAAAGATTTACATACTTAAGTTAACCAACATCCAGTAAAATATTCTGTCCTAGGTCATCCTCCTCAATCCTAACTAATCGCTCTTCATTATCTCAAAAGAAATTTCACACGAGAGTTTCTAAAATGAAACCTTACTCCCGACTATCCTGAAAGATGTGAACATCTTTTGCTAGAAGCCCTCAATTGTGACCTGTTGAAAAACAATTGAAAGCTCATCTACGAAATAATATATGGTCGCTCGTTTGTTAAATACCGCCCAATTATGATTAACGACACTGCTTATAGACTTGGAAACAACGCAAAACACAAAAAATCATTGCGTTGTAATTTCTTTGTAACACGATACGGTCTATTGTGGAACAGATTAACAATTACTACCCGCATCTGTCACACAATGACCAAGCTCAAGAAACTAGTAATGCTGTTGTTAGACTCTAAAGACATTTATTAACTATTCCCAGGACTCACACCAAGTTCCGAGGCACTCTTTTACGGTCCAACGAATATTTAGATAAACCTTAGAAACTAACAACAGACCATGAACATATTGTACCTGCACTACCATCCATACAGGTGTCACGAAGTGACAAACGAATCGCCCACTCCTACTAACATTAGTAGGTCAAGCATTTGGTGCGCTACCCGCAATGTCCAGAGTTTTCTGAAAATTTAAATCCTAATCATTATCTTCTTTTCTTTCACAGCACTTTTAGTTTTTATTACCAGTAGACATAAATTGAAAAGCCTTTAGATGTTGCCCAACTGCTGTCGATCACAAGGAACTCAAACTTCCTGTATCATTGTGAGTTCCTTCCAGTTCCTGAATTACCAGTTTAATAAATTTTCATTTACCCAGTTCATTAACATCCCAACACCTTGCTAACTCACCAATTTATCGCCTTACTCATGAGTTTATTTAACACTATTTCTCCTTACTTTATTTCGTCAGCAGCCAACCTCACTATCTGCTAACACCCATCAACTTACACATATATTTCAACTTAAACCATTTGTTAACTCAAAATCAGTGTGGTATGATACGTAGATATTTAGTCCAACATACAGAAGACAAATCTGTCTCGTTTGTATGTGACGCGGAGCTAGCAGAGAAGGTGTATTCCTACCAGGAGTACAAAATATAGAGCATGGACTCAAAAACGTTGTTTGAAATCTACCATTAAACGTAAGAGATCCTAACATGACAAAAGGAGAGAAGGTGGTGTATCTGATCAGCATTCATGATAGTGTGGCGACAACGTAACTCTACCCATGTCTGTGTGTACGTGCTTATCAAGTCTGTTGTCGAAGCTCTCGAGTGAGTGGGCTCTGGTCACCTCGGCTGGGAAGGAATTCCCATTTTCAGCGAATCATAATCAGAAAAAGTGTGCACTAAGCTGAGTGTGCGCTTTCTGTTGGGTAGTTTTTCGAGCATTGCCTCAAGGGAAGTGGTAGTGATGAGCCGGCGAGATGCTCACTTTGGGATGGTTCGGAGTGTTTAGTATGTTTTACGTCATTATCAGATCACCACTGATTTTCCTGTAGTTCAGAAGGAATTATCCGAAACTCTGGAGTCTATCTTCGTAAGTTTCATTTTTCAACCCTATCCCCATTCCGTTCCCCTTCTCTGTAATCGATTCAAGAGATTAATGTCCCTTTTAAGGATAAAGGGTACAACGACGTTGTGAACCTAAAGGTGTGGACCTGTAAATGCCTTACACAACGTTAGAAATAATTCAGGGATGATTGCATAAAGTTTTCTTCGCATAAAGTGAAGAGTTGCATTTGCCTTGGCTGCTTCCCTTATATAGTTCTAATTGGTTTTGAGGCTTTTAGTGGAGACATTTGGGGGCGGACTTCCGTTGAGGATGTGAATTGTTTGCTTCATGAGAGGAAGAATGTACACTACGTGATATTTTGGCTGTTATAGATTTTAACCGTTTTTCACCACCCATCCCTCAATGGATGTACGGTCCTTTCGAAGCTCAGTCGACTCCTCTTCGCTTCCAATGGACCTCCAGATCTTTTCATTATCGTCATCATACATGCCGTCCGATCCGTTCGTTCGTCAGCCCTTCCAGTACCTTCGATATTACTGATAGTAATGTGACTGGTCTGCAACAAGCTGGATCATTCCTACTTCCTTCTTTAAAGATCGGAGAGAGAGTATCTTGTTTCGATTTAGCTCGGTGTTGGCGTGACTCTAATGAATGCCTGAACAGTTCACATATCGGTGAACTGAATGCTTCTTCACAGTTTCTAGACTAGGGGTCGCATATTGTCACATCCTAATAACTTACCCGGTAGCAAATATTTTAATTTTCTTAGTACTTAGTCAGGATAATGTTGGGTATTGCCTACGCCGTCAGCTGGTACTAGAAACTTCGTTTAACTGATCAATAAAGTTGGTGCTTAAGATCTGAGTCATCTCTAGGTTGGTAAGATCTTCGTCGTTTGGACCATTGTGGGTACAAATACTCTGATTCGTATGTTTTCTATCAGCCATGAACCTAAAGAGATATTCTGGATTTGCCTACATTTTGGTTGCTAGCTTCATCTAAGAGTGTCACCTATCACTTCGAACATTGGAATCTCATCTGTTATAAAATCAATACAGAGATTTGATTTCGGAATAACGGTTCAGGAAGTTTAGATACACGCATTGACCAGTTAAATTCCAAAAAGCAGTTGATCTGGGTAAATAACGGTTCTATTAATAATCATGAATACATTTAAACATTATTTCCAAAACACATTACGACCTTTTCTCCTTTTGTAATAACACAAAGTGTTTCCAGTTCTGGAAGAATGCTCCGATTTCGATTCAATTTGCACCCTTCCACTTCATATGAGAGTATCAACCGCCCGACTGTGGCTGATACCTTGACGTAGTGGTAAAGCCCGTCTATCGCGATGTTCCAACCGAGCTATATTGGCTAGAACATATGTTCCTGAAGGTTCTACCACACCAGCCAGGTCGATTGGAGAACGATGAGACTAAAAGTAGCTACTCTAGGTCTGAGGACGAAGTTGTACTGCTGACTGTAGACGGGTGTGACAGCAGTAAGATGTTTCGATCGGACGACCAGCATCTGTAGCGATGCCGCCTTCTCACAATGAAGTAAGGGTTAGAAAAAGTCGACCCTAAAATTGTCACATCTCACACTAACTCAAGAATTTCCATTTCAGGTTGTAAGGGCTGCCCACTAAGGGCGTAGCTTATATTCCATAAACCTTTCATCAAAAGGCCGTGCGTGACCGGCCTCAAGCAGTTTTCCCTTGAGCTCTGCAGTCACGCTCCCAGGTCGTTAACACTGACACTAATCTACCATCCCTTTCAGGTCCTCCAAGAAACAGCCTTCCACGCTGTGGGCAGCCAAAAAGTGACAACTGCCCCCACCCGCAACAGCACACGAGACCAAACTGGTCGAAAGAAATCCTCCCTACACCCCCTAATACCTCCACGACTAACTCTACTCGCACTCTCTTATCTTACTGCACCGCTGCTGCTAACGATGCGAGTTCACGAAAAGTTTTTCCTGGTCTCCTGAAACTCTGTTCTAGACTATATGTTGGACCATTTAATGCACGGATATTGTGTCAAATAAGGCAAAAGACTCCCTTAGCTAGGAATTTAGAATCTCGCATCATCGATGTATGCTGCGTCTCCGAAACCCGCATACAGGTTGGTAGAGAACTCATCAATATATTTCACTTTGTCAAAATAAAGAAGCAGCTCGACTTACTCTTCGTGTATCTGGAAGTCCTGATGCCGCTTCCTGGGATCTCGCTGGCTCAGCTATGGCATCGTTTCGTGGGGCTGAACTGGCTCTCCTAGACTGGATTTCAATAGATAGTCGCTTGTGTGCTGTCCAAATAAACGGGACAGTAGGACTCGTAAAGATAGTGACACTCGCCGTTGTCTTTTTGTTGTCACTGCTTACGCACCCACTGACCGCAGTTCAGACGAGGTGAGAGATGAGTTGTACAGAAAGCTTTCGGACCTCCTCCAAAAAGTTAGGAACCTCGATATAGTAATAATGGCTGGTGACTCTAATGCTCAAGTAGGTAGACTAAGTGAGCAGGAAAGACATCTAGGTGGATGTTTTGTTGTCGCGGCTCAGAGAACAGACAATGGCCATTGTCTTTTGCAAGTATGCTCAGATAACCGCCTATTTCTGGCAAACACTAAATTTAGGTACAAGGGAAAATATCCTTTCACCTGACGATCCCAAAGTCGTTTCGAATTTGGACTCGACTGTAGAATCTATTTTGAAGGTTATGGTTTTGGAAAATCCCTCCATGTATATATATTTGTGTTATGATATGTTTGACTCTTTCTGTTGATATTTTGGTACTTTATTTGATTCCATTTTGAGATTTTATCATAGTA